CGGGCGGGCGTCAAACTGCGCCCTCAACTCCTTGAAAAAAACACTCTATGCTTAATGTTATTAGTCATTTTTATACGACTTTATTCCCCTTGCAATTCCTTCGTTTTTATTTTTTTTTCCCGACATGTGCATTCACGTCCGGGTGTATAATATCCGCATTTTGCAGGTATATTCGTCGTGGTACACCCGAGGGCCAAGGAAACTCCATCTCCTCGGTGTAACCCTGAAACTCTGCAAACTGATGCAGGGCTTTAATGAGCACCGGCTTCATTTGGATAGCGTGCTTAAACTTAGCTCTGGTCGTGATTTGAAAGGTTTTTTTTAGAGATACCTGTCATCCAAAGCCGATTATACATTTTTGTATTTCGTAAAACTTTATATATATATGTACTTATAATCGCTTTTTTGTTTTCATGAATACTATTCAGAACAAGTTTATGCTGGTGTTTGTGGCTTTATTTTTAAATGCCAATAGTAAGAGTGCGTATGACCTCAAAACAAAAAAAGTAACCCTTTCTCCGCCCCCTAGAATAAAAATGTCTCTTTGCTCAGCATTTTTACAACTTGAGTTCCCCTCAGATGTTTTGTTTGTGTTGCCTGCTAGTAGCCAAAGATGGCTTGGGTAAGTGGTAAGCTGTGTATAAGTCATGAAAGTAGAACACTCTTTTCACTATGGAGATGTATGTATCTGGAGCGCTAATTTAAAACAAATAGTGTCATTACTTATTTACATTTTAAATATTTAAGCTTAGATTAAGTTTTTTTATCTAAATTTGGATTAACTATTTCTCACTCTGTCTCATTTATTTATTTTTCCTTTTTCTTTTTCCCTCCTCCTAGAGGGAGTCTGGAGGGAAAGCGAGAGCAGAAGAGTTATGAAGCCCTTTTGGAAGACCCAATGCTGAAGTTCTCTGGGCTCTATCAAGAGACTTGCTCTGACTTGTATGTAACTTGCCAGGTGTTTGCAGAAGGGAAGCCTCTCGCTCTTCCAGTTAGAACTTCCTACAAAGCTTTTAGCACTAGGTGGAAGTAAGTGACTGCCTGTTATTTTATGTACCTCTTTGCTTCTGGAAAATAAGGTCATATAAATCTATACTCTTTTTTGGTATATTAAAAATGTTTATTCTCATCCTCTTCAAATAACTCAGTGTTATAACTATATAATAATTATTTGGGCCTAAACTAGCACGTTTTTGTGCACTGGTGGCTTTTGAGGGCTGCTGGTGAAAGTCTCTGACCTTTTAATTGTACCTGCGTGTAGGTTGACTCAAAACTGTACTTAAGCATGTAAATGCTTAAAGTTTGAAGGAAAATACTTAGAAATTCGTGTTCTCTGGAGAACCTGGATAGTATTAACTAATATAAAGTAACTTAAATTCTAAAGCATTGTTTAATAAAAATTTATCTCTCTGCAGCTGGAATGAATGGCTGAAACTGCCAGTGAAGTATCCAGATTTGCCTCGAAATGCACAAGTGGCTCTGACCATCTGGGATGTGTATGGACCAGGCAAAGCAGTTCCTGTGGGAGGAACAACAGTCTCACTCTTTGGGAAATATGGGTATACCTTTTTTTATATGCTACAAACTTTGAATGAGCAGTAAGACCAGATGGTTACATTAGAGTGCATTTCTTTGTTTGCTTTGTACTAGTTAACACTGCCATGATTAAAAAAAAAAAAGACACGTAGGTGATATACTATCTTTATTTGTTTGCTTTTTATTTTCTGTAATCTAACTTTATACATGATACTATTTTTTTTTGCGGGGAAGTGGGAAGTTACCTCTGCTGGAAACAAGTACTGAAATCTTTTCATGTTACATGCTTTTGCAGTATGTAGGCTCCAATATTGATGTCTTAACATGTTTGTAGTTGTTTGGCCTACAAGTGGACTGTTATTGTGGTGTTTATAAATAACAAAGTGCAATTCACGAAATCACAATACTTACAATTATTAATGTATCTGAGTGACTCACATAATTTCACAAGGATAAGCTGAAATTGATCAAAAGTATTTTGGAAATGACTATACACTAAAATGCACTTGACTGAATGCAAAATGAACTGAAAGAATAGAGGGTACAGGTTAAGCATAAGTGTGAGGTTAGTGTTTTGTGTAGTTGATTGCAGTCAATGGTGGAGAGGGCCTTTTTGCCCAGGAAAACCCTGGAAAAGATCTGAATTTTATAGTGAATCTTAAGCTTTACTTGTTTAAATCCTGTTAAATATATAAGCACAGCTATACACATGAGGGGCGAGGTTGTTATCCTGCTGCTCAACTCATCCATTCAGCTGAAATGTGTCCAGTTTTATGTACTCTATTTCAGGAAAGTTATTGATAACTGGGAGATTAGGTAGGCCATATTACTGAACATCTAGAAGAGAGGATCTTTTAAGAACAACTTTTACAAAAAGATCATCAATTTCTTAGGGCAGAAAACTGGAAAGAATCATTTACCCTGTAGTCTAAAGACTCCAGGTGGCTTTTAAAATATTAGAGTGTAATTGCTGGAGAAAGTTCTAATTTATAAATGAAGCTTATTTTTATTTCTAGCATGGAATGGGGGAAGGAGATTGGCAGAAAGTGACTAACAAATATTTTGAAATTTGGCTTTTTGTTTATATACGGAAATCATTGTGGCAGCATTCCACAAAGGGGTTCCATGAATTTTTAGCTTTATTGCTCCAATAATAGCCCAATGCTACTGAATTATTATTTAGTTGTTGAGTTTAAGTGCCACTTTCAGTAGTTGTCTAAAATTGTCATGGAGATAAATGATCAGTGCTCATTAGCAAAAATCCTGCAGTTTATTCCTTGAGATATCTTTTAAAAATAGATCAGTGCACATTTGCAAGGGGACCAGGGTTTTGTAGAAAGGGATGTGGTTAAGTTACCCTATGAAGTTTTGTTCACTGCTGTAGACAGTTTCAGTTCAATGGGATGTCATGTTGGCAGGATTTCTTTTTTAATTCTGTTTTTTGAAGTTCAAGAAGCTAATTTTTAACAGCTAATGAAACTTATATGTTTTTTAAAAAAATTACTTTTTGTAAACTTATATTTTTAAAAAAATTTTGTTTGTTTGTTTGTTTTTTGTAAACTTTAATCAGCAAGTCAAGAGGAGTTCTTCATGCCTCATTATAAGTAAACTGTGAAGGTCAAGCTCTTCCCTCAGCTAATGTTTGTACCATCCCATTGACTTTAGGAATTCCCCGTGTTTCTTTCACTTGCCAAATAAGTTATCCCAGACTTACTTTCTTTCAAACTTTGTGTGCCAGTATAAATGAAGGCTGGATAGGGTATGATGTGCCAGGCACTTCTGCAGTTCAGTGAAATTAAGTGTGTGTGTCTGTAGGTTTGGCAGAAGAAGCGAGTTCATTTTCTTGCAGCTGCTGCTACCCTTTCATTCTTGACAGCTGTATTGCTTTCAATTTACTGAAGTGATTTCTGCATATTTTTTTTTTTTCCCCACAGCATGTTTCGTCAAGGAATGCACGATTTGAAAGTCTGGCCCAATGTAGAAGCAGATGGCTCAGAGCCCACCAGAACTCCTGGAAGAACCAGCAGCACAGTCTGTGAAGATCAAATGAGTCGTCTGGCAAAGGTAGAGGGGAAGCTTTGCACCTGTTATCTCATAGGTTGCTTGTACTTTTAATGAGGAAGCACCCTGAAGGAAGTCATGCTTCCCATCTTGTTTTCTGATGTGGAGATGGTCTTCCTTTGACTGATAAATATATCACGGATTTCATATGAATAAGCTAGATCATACTCATTTGTTATTAAGTAGTGCTTAAGAGGGCACATGAATACTCTAAAGGAATTTAATACATGCAGCTGCTTTTCTTTGTAACTACTTAAAATCCTAATCTTTTGTAGAGAATGAAAAATAGGATCATGTCTTGATAACTCTTGAAGCCAAAATGGTAGCTTGGTCAGTAAGAGGTCTTATCAATAACTCGTGAAGAAATCACAGGTAGGAGAGTCTAGTTTCCTTCAGTAGTTATCCTTCAGAATTAAGACTGTCTGGTGTGGTCTTCAGATACGTATGAAGTGTATCTGCCTTAACTTGAATTCATTCATTCAGGATCATGGATTTATGTTTATGTATAAATATTATCTATTCTGCAGTTTGGTGACGTACTGTATTTTGGCCATAGGCACAATTTCTAGAATGGATTGATAAACTTAACTACTCTGAACTATGTGACGAGTGCCCTGATTCTTCAGGTGAATTTACCTAATCTTGCTGAATGGCTCAACCCTGTTACTGTGTGCTTTCATCTTAATTTTGGCCTCCTAGTACTTTCTTGCCTTTGTGCAAATTGAAAGAAAGCACCAGGCTGTAAATACGTCCATTTTCTCATCCTGAGATTTATCATGGCAATAAACTAACTGTTATTTAAGGTCTGCTTTTTATAATGCTAGTTCACCTTGAGTTTGTAATGGGAAACTCATTATAATCTCCTGCCTTGTAGCTAGTAGGTCACTATGAAATGGAGAAGGTGAATTCAAGAGCAGCACTGGCAGCTTAGGTGAAGATGCAGCCTAATAGCTCTTTTTGTTAGGCACAGAAGTAGTATAATTGCCTAATTCAGTGCTGATTTTGTTGAGAGTTCAGACTAAAAGCTTTTTTACAGCACTCTTTTAAAGAGATGAAACTGTGGAAATACTTGATTTAACTCTTTGGTTTTGCATTATGGGTGCAAGCTTATGTTAATGCTGACATCCATTTTAGCTTGCATGTGTGTTTTGGTTTTATTAGAAAGAAACAAAGTAGACTTTGGGTTGGAGTGAAGGAGGGAGACTGTCTTAGGAGGAAGACATAACGCTTTTAAGCACTTGAATTTGCCTAAAGCTGTCTGCTAGCTAATGGTGCCCCATTTCTTGGTCACAGTGAAATAAATACCGTCTAGCATTAAGGAAGCTCTGTAGAGGCTATCAAGGCTTGCTTACATTTTATCAGATGGTTACGTGAATGGGAAGGTGGATTTTTGAGCAAGGGTTTTGGGTTGTGGGCCTTCCCTGTCCAGCAAGTTTCATAGCACAAACCTGAGTGTACCAAAATTGTATTTTCCGTTGTCGTCCATTCACTCCCTTCTGCTTCCGAACTCAAGAAGTACAAATAGGTTAAGATTTAGTCTCTAAGCTTTAGTCTCAGCATACATGGGTCCACTGCAGGCTGTTCTTTTGGTAGATGGGAGATAACAGCTCAAATCTCCCGACGAGATTTTTCGTCATGTTTGTTTATTTTTTCCCCTCTTCTCTGCATCCCAAATGTGAGTTCTAGCTAATGCGAATTAAAGACTAGGAACATCACTTTCACCATCGTCTCTTCTGAAAGTTTTTTTTCAGAAATTTTTTTGTAATTTTTTTCTACGTATGTATTGGACTTATGATTTGTAAAAGTGACATGATACTAATGGATGTCTGATACCAAAGGCCAAATTAGAGCCCTCTAGATAACAAATCTTGGGAGAAGAGCTTACTGACCTATTCTGCATGTGGAGGATGAATTCTTTTTCTTTGCCATGCTTCTCAGTTTTTGTTTGTGTATGGTATTTGTTATTATGGAGAATTCAGATAAAATTAATGACTAGTTGCCAAAAAAAAGAATGGAATACATGACTTATTCTAATTAATGGAAAGCTTTCTGTTTCTTGCTGAAGTACCATATGGTTGTGCTGTTATAAAATACATTAAAATTGCTTGTAAACTTGCTACTGAGGAAAACTCGGACTTTGCATCCTTATGGTTATTGCAAGTGATAGTCCTTTTCCTTCATACTAAGGAGTTTCAATTGGGCGTGTGTAGAATATTTTAATACACTCAAATATTAATGACAGTGGGATTTATATTGCACAATGGTTTACTCTCATAAATGGTGGAACAGATTATACTGCTTAAACAAGAGGTACTCTTAAGTTCTTTTTTGATCCCTTCATTTCCTTGATCCCTTCTGCTTGTTGAATGAAATTGTCTAATAAGTGATGAGCTATTATGGTATTTCTTCAGGAAAAGAAGCGTTCAGCTTCTCCTACTAAATAAGCTTCTCTTTAGACACCAAGCTTTTTGTTTAAACTTTAAATACTGATCTAACAGAACAGTTCTTTGTGTGTATGCAAGCACAACTGAAACTTTGTATGCAAGCACAACTAGTGGATGTATTATGACCTTTTGTCCTTCCTATAACCAGGTTTGAGGCCACAAATTTTCCTTTAAAACACACACAATTTTCATTTGTCTGGTGCAGTGAAAAAAGTTAATTAACAATCTGTGACAAACAAAATTTAAATATTTATGTATTTCTTGCCCAGGCTGTGATAGGCTTGATCCTAAATCTTTGTACGAATGGTACTGAGTATGATATGTGCATGTGGTCCTCTGAATTTTTATGTATTAGTTTCACGTAGTAGAGGGTGGAACTGCCTTTCTCATTAGCTCCCTACGACACAGGTGGTGTGGATTACACCACAGGCATGAAACAAGGTTTTGCTTTGGGAATGTTTCTGGTCCTTAAGCCTTAGAATATAGTGTGAAGTAATGCAGGAGGTAAAGGGCAAAGTACATACTGTACTAACACTGCTGTGTTATATATTTTATATACTGTTACACATTATGATGCATTTTTCTTCCTTTTTGTATTGTTTAACTCTGAAGCTAAATTGAAGATTACCTTTTCATATGGGATTTTCTGTTCCATAATTCTATTTAGCAGGTAAATACTATAGAAAATTATTTGCTTGAGCTTTGCTAGAAAAGAACTATATACCAAATGGGATTAGGTAATTCTTCCAAGCAGCAATGGTCTTGGAAAGTTTAATCTTATTATTTCCATAAAGTGTTAGTGAGGTCAGGTGCTTAAAGAAAAGGTTAGTCAGATTGGCCAACAATCTTGGAATTGTTATGAGGGGATGTTTCTGTGGTTCATGGAAAGAGCTCAGAGCAAAGGGCCTCTGATGTTTTGACCAGTTTACTACTTAGTGAGTCTTAAAATGGCCAGTTTCTTAGATAGCTGGAAATAATATATTAATATATATATATATATATTTTTTTAAAGGCAGGATTTTCTCAGCTGGATAGCTCTGACTCCTTCTGAAATTGTAGCTGCTTGTGTCTGTTCTTCTCTTTGACTGGTAGAACAAATAACTAAGGACAAAGTCTGAAAATTTGCCTCGAGTATTAAGACTTATTTGCAGAATTTAAACTATACTAACAACATAGAATCAGAAAAGCTGAATTATGCAACAAAGCTATGAAGTAAACGAATATTGGTATGAGAGCTGAATGCCATGCTTGCTTTTGTAACTACTGTCATTTAAAATTTAATTCAGGTCTTAAGGGGTTATACTATATTCCAACTCTAATATTCCTAGAAACATAATTTAAATAAATTTGGGTTCTTATTTGGTACTTGGAGTTTAGAAACTTGCTTCTGAAATGCTATTAGACTGAATGCTATTGTTCACTTTTAAGGTTTCTAGGTGAAAGATTTGTTAATTTTCAGAATCTATCTTATAGCTCTTCCCATCTCATTGCTGCTGTTCTTGAGCTGTGCATCATTGTGCATTGGCACTGCAGACTTCCTTTATGTTCCTCAATAGCCTTTTTTTATCTCATGGTGGTAGTTCTTGATCTAATAGACAATGAAACTGTTTCTCCTCAGGAAAACAGTAGGTGGTTGGTCGATCTGGGTATATTGAGTGGAGATTGTAAAATAGCAGGTTTACACCTATGGAAAAATAACTTTGTCAGTATAGACTGGGATGTGACAGGCTGGAAAGCAGCTTTGTGGAGAATCTGAGGATCATGGTTTATGTCCCTTTGTATTTTTTGAAATACCCTCTTTTTATTTTTGATTTTGTAATGATTTTTTTGATTTTAAGTTACTGTATTTCTGTTTTCTGTATGCAACTTTGCTTAAAAAAAAGCATCTTATTTTAATATGTTACACACAAAAAAGAGAAGTACTTGGAATATGTAAGTTTTATTCTTTGCCCTGATTGATGTTTTAGATATTAGAAGTATATCTATGTCATGGCTTTACTGTTCATCCGGATATGCATTTTATATTTGAAAGCAGTTATTTTTAAATCACTTTTTTCCTATACTTTATATTTTAATGGTTTTTAGAAATTATGACTTTATTTTTTCTCATAATTGCAGCAAAATAAATATCACTCTATATATTTCCATGGCAGCTCACCAAATCTCATCGACAAGGTCACATGGTGAAAGTGGACTGGCTGGACAGACTAACTTTTAGAGAAATAGAAATGATCAATGAGGTAGGTCATCACATGTCAGATTTGTAATGAGTTTTTGGATCTTCCTAGTGTGGAAACCTTGACTTGTTTAGAGGACTGTAACTCAAAGCACTTGCCCTATTTCTACTTCAACCACTAGTGTATACATTAAAAGGGCATATAATTCTTTTAAGTTTCCAAAGTTGAATGGACTTGGGCAAAAAGGAGACTAGGCAGCTGTCTTGGAGTTGTCAGCTTTGGTTTCCAGTGAACTTGACTGGAGAAGAGAGAATTAATTATTGAGCTGGGATAGTGTGGAGCAGATGCTGCTATGTTTGATTTACAGAAAGGTAAGATTTTGATTGTGATGAGAAGCTCTCAAATCATACAGATTATGCCATGGATTTAGATGTATTGATTGAGGTTGAACTTGTTTTCAGTTCATGAATTTTTGGGTACTGAGGTGAAAATGCTTGCAAATTTTTATTTAAATATATATATGCGTATATATGTGTGTATATATAAATATTTATAAAAATCCTAGGATTTCATTCTTGGTTGAAGTTACCCTCTTCAAGTAGAAACATCCGCAAAACAATTGGTTTTGCCCCAAACCAGCTATGTGTATAAAATCCAATGTTTCTGATTCTTAGGACTGCATTTTAAATAAGCAACACCTTTGCCAGTTTTGGAAAGTCTGATTCATCATTGATGCCTGAAATCAATTAGGACGACTTAGTTTTAAAGGACATGTTATTTTTTGGTAAATACATATTACTGATGGTAAATATGTGTAATTCCTTTCTTTTACACTTTTAAATATTCTTTCTATTTGAACAGTTAAAAATGCATATATTGAGCAATTTTTTTTCTATAAGTCATTGAGCTCAAAATCTAATGCCTCAGTTTGTTACGATTGTCTTTTTCACAGTTTTATCTAAAACTAGCTTTTGTGGTTTCTGAATTTATTTTTATCATGATCTTGTGTTTTTTTGGCTCCTAAATATTCTCCAGTGGCCATAATTGTGTAATGATTAAAAATGGAGAAGAAAAGAAATCGTTGTCAACTTGTTAGTCTTCCTTACACTCTTTTTCCTCAAACCTTCAGGTTCATGAACTGAAAGACCCTGATGAAGGCAGTAAGCTTTAACTATTGTGTAGAAGTATGAATTTTCTTGGGAGTGTCAGGAAAATGATGATACAAATTTCTGTAGAATTTTCAGATGATTATCTGAATAATGGCTGTAAGAACTGGTTGGTTATTGGTACTGGTTATACCACAAAGGAAATAGGATAATTACTGCATAGAGAATTCTGACAATTGATGCTATTTAATATGATACATCTGTGATGTGTTTGTTTTTTTTATTTTTTTCAGAAGGAGAAACGAAGTTCTAATTTTATGTACCTGATGATTGAATTTCGCTGTGTCAAGTGTGATGACAAGGAATATGGTATAGTTTACTATGAAAAGGTATGTGCCTTGATGGTTTTAGGTTCTTTTTAAAAAAGCAGCATCAACAACTACAAGTGACAGGTTTTTCCCCCAAGGTGAAATACTCTGCTGCAGGGTAGCAGACAGCTGTCAGTGGCATCTGTGCGTGTACGTACAAATCAAGTGGTAGAGATGCAAAGAGACTACAGAAGTCAATCATTCATGTAATACGTTTCAAGATTTCAGAGTTTAATAAGTGAGTGATTAAAAAATATTTTATATTTCTAGTTTCTTAGTTGTCCAGCATTACTTTCAAAGTAGCTTTATTTGAAATTTTCTTGTATCAAGAAGAAATGTATCTGTGATTATGTGGCATTAAAGTAACTTAGACTAAGACTTTGCAGGGGACCTGTACTGGCGAGTGTTTCTTCTAATGGGAGCAAATATAAGAGTTTATGCTTTCATGCTGGAAATATTTAAAAATCAGTAAAAAGAGGATGAATTGAATTGGGTAGAAATTGGTTGCTGTTTTAATATCATCGTGTATTAAATGTGCATGCAAGTAAAGGTGAGAATCTGGGTGTGGGGGTGCTTTTTTGGTTGTATCTTTTGGTTCTGTTTGTTTTTCTCCTGTGTGTCTAAGAGGCCATTTTCAGTTTGTATGCATACAGAGCTATAGTTTCCAAACATCACCTTCCTCTGTAGCTTTGTCACTATGTTGTTCCGTGCTACCGAGAAAACTGTAGGCTTGAAAAAGCCAACGTTGAAAATGAAAAAGAGCCTACAGGATTTTTAGATCAGGCAGTGCATTTGCAGTGAAACATTTAAGGGATAGCATCAGACTGTCATGTAGTATCAGCTGAATGGTTAAATTATTTAGCAGTTGAAAAATCCTTGAAGTTTAGTGAAGTGAACTGTTCCTACAAGAAGAATCTTACAGGATCTCTTTAGCCCTTTCATGCCCTGAAGGAACAGAATGTGAGTATGATTTTATATATATATATATAAATACACACACGCCTGCTGAGTGTCTTGAGTTCAATTTAATGGAAAGAAGGATTCATAACTACCTTAACAGATACCGAGGTGACTTTGGAAGATATAATCAGTATTTTAATGGATCTGAGCCTTAAAGTTGGATCCACTGAAACAGAAAAAGCAGTATGTCTGTAACAGTTACTTGAAAACAAGCAAACAACCCCCCCGCTACACACATTAGTAGAAATTACCTGTTAGAATTTTTAGTGTATTCAGATCAAACAGAGTTGGGAAGATTGTTGAGTAATGTGGCTATATGGGCTAGAGAAAGAAGGTAATGATGATAGGCTGGGGTCTTGTTGAGATCAAAGGGATTTCAAAAAAGAAATGTGATTCAATACAGAAGAAATTAATATAATGGAAAATAGATTAAAACTATTCTTATGTGTATGATAGCATTGCAGGTTGATTAGAAAACAACCCTGTAATCACATTTAAGAATTAAGAAGATGGTGAAGAATCTAGTATTAAACTGCAGGCAGAAAAATTTCACCAAAAGGTATCCAAGAATGGTAGATCGGGAGATGAGTAACTACCTCAACTTATATGTGTTGTTGCAAACAAGTATGTGACTGTTAGAGAAGGAGCTGTGGAAACTAGTCCTGTGAACTAGTGTGCTTTCGAATATCTGCAACTTTTAGTAGTCTAAATACGTAAGACTAGGCTGCTTTTACTTATGAGCAAGTGTAAAGTTTTATACACTGAGATGCCTTGGATTCCAGGGAAGGATATTTTCTGAAGATTAGGTGCAGTGGTCCTGTAAGAGATGCCTTTTAGCAACGTGTTGCTGAAGTTTTTCCTGTTAGGAATCCAGAAGCTAAATTTAAGAGATCTCCGTGTTCATCCTGTCAGTGTTGATATTAAGGCATAAGCTAATCATCCTTTGCTCTAAGCAGAGGCAACTGAGTATATTTTTGTATTAAGTATTCCAGGCTCTAGTTTATTCCAGGCTCTAGTTACATTCTGGAGCTTTGAAGCTCTCCTGTCTGTCCCATAGGAATGGACTGCTGCTGGATAAGTGGGTTAACCCAAGGATGGGTGTGTTTTCCAGGCATTTATTGTAGGGACAGCTTAGTTACTGAGTTGTGTCCATCTGTCTGTTTCCCAAAATGTCACAGAAGAGCTTCAACTCTGATGTTTTAAATGAACAGAGCTTGGTAAAATCTTTTAAGAATTTTAACATTGGGAAAGGTGAAACTCTGTTCCTTAGGCAGGTGTCTGGGCTAAAAGCCTCTTTAGTTTTCTGCACCTCTTCAGTGTTTGTTTTGGTGGATTGTACTTGAACAGGGAACTTCTCCAAACCTTTTCAATCTGTTTTACCGTGGAATAACTTGTTTCACAGACTTTCTGTAGGCTTATCCTGGAACCAGCTTATTATATTGATTTTCACGAGGAATTTACTCTTGCATCTTTCATTTGGATTTATAATGCAGTAAAATTCTGTGATAGTAAGATCACTTTTTTTCTTGTGGAAATCTGGGAAATGTTTTATTTTTTTATTTTTCCCCCCAGGGAATGAATTGAAATATAATCCAAGTATTGGAACATTTTACTAATCATGTACTAGCTTTAAATGAGAATGTGCATTATTTCTCACAGATACAAACCATTGAACATGGCTAGTAGGTAGCCTGAGTGCTCTTGACTGTCCTCATATTTTAATGTGGTTTCCCTGAAAACAGTTTCTTTCCCTTGGCCCCAGAAACCTACTAATGAAGATGAATTGCTCCTGGTAAAAAAATGATTTTTCTTTCCAGTTATCAGTATGATTTTTCCAGATAAAGAAGGTGAGGAAAGATGATTCAGACTTCAAATACATGTATTTCTTGACAGCTGTTACTGAAGCTCATTAAAAGTCCATGGAACAAAAAACTGTATAGTGCTCTTCTGTGGAAATAAAATAATTGAATGTGTAATAGCACCCACTAAAACCATAAATTACTGCAGCTTGAGGGATTCGTTGATATATAAAGTAGCTTTTCAGCAAGTTCTTGACCCTTTTCTGGCAGCAGTAGAAAACATAAATTAGCACCTGTCTTCTCAGTTTTGTCATATTTCCAATTACAGCAAACACATCCAGCATCCCCAATCCGGTACAGTGAATCTAATGAAACTGCATCCTCTTGTCACCTGTCTGTGACCGATAGTTGAAGTGAAGATTACTTGTCACAGCTCTGCTGATAAATTTTGTTTTCAAGTGTTTACAAAGAACTAGCCTGTTAAGAAGTAGCCGATCAAATTGGAAAATCTTGGACTCGGTTCTCAATTTCAATAATGTAAAGGCAGTGAGTCTTTCCATGTTCTCTTAATTTTAATAGAGCACTTATGATTTAAAGGATAGCAGCTGGCATGCAGCAAGAGCATCACTTCTGATATCTGTTTAGGCAAAAAAATTGTTTAATCTTCCAAGTACAAGTATCATTTTTCACTTTTCATATTTTGTGAGTTTCAGATGAAAACTAGTATTGTTTGAATAAAGTCTTTGCACTGCTGCCATCAACTTATAATGTCAATAGTGTCAGGAGGATTGGGAGTCCATTAAGGTTTTGAATACGAGAAGTTGGATCCCTTTGGGTTTTTTGACTAAAAATGAGAAGAGTGGTCTTGAGGAAAATACATCAGAAATTTGATCCAGAAACTTTTTCAAATCTTGTTCACTATAACATGGCTGATGTTTAAATAATTCACACAGACTGAATTTAATGTAGTGCGGTCCCTCAAAAGTTCAGTGATAGACCAGTTAATTCTGTTTATACACTCTTGACATTGTTTTTGTTTCCCTCTGGCCAAACAGCAGGCCATCTCTGGCTATGTCTATTTTATCAAAAAACACAGCCTGGAGGAGCAGATTTGCAGGGTGAGGAGGCTGTTGCTGAAGGCCTCGTATCTGTGCCTGTGCCGTGCTTGTGTGTACTTCAGACCACCTCTAATCAGGTCCCATGGGCTGAGTAACTACTAGCACTTGGAGCACATTACAAGTTCTTCAAGACTTCTGCGTGCTTAGTTTTAAAACATACCAAATCCAGGGACTGATTAAATACTCCTTCAGGCACTGGCCTGATTTAGTAAGTTGGCATGTCCAGGGTCACAGTGAAACACATGAAGTTCTCCAAGTAGGACAGAATTGGTTGCATGTGTATCTATCTATTCAGAAGGTAACACAAGTGACTCCTTACTGGCAAACTGATGATATGCTGTCTTTCTGACACTACAAAACAACATATTCTGAAAATACTGTTAATTTCCACACATTTCGGCCTAAGATGTTTTTGGCACAGCTGGTTTTTGTGGCACACCCTGGCTGACGCTTAAGGCTTTGCTCTAAAATACAATTTTCCCAGTATCTCAGCTGAATAACTAAGGTTTTTCAGTTTGAGGCTTCAGTATAATTTAATTGCATTTGAGAAGGGGGGTTTAAAGAACACTCATCACAGTACTGCTTGTGAAAAGTTTAAAAAAAATGACACGTCAACAGTTTAGAATTCCTTCCTTTAACACTAATCTTGGAGGGGGGAAAATGAAGTCCCCAGTCTTAGATTTCCAGTGTTTGTATACAAAATCTTGTAAAACTATGTCCCTTGTTTAGTGTAAGTAACCAAAGCTTAAGCAATTGCACTTTGTCATCCTAATTCTAGTAAGTTCTGAATTAGCAATCATGCTTGCATGCACAGTAGCTTCGTGTGGTAGCTACCCTGTTTTTACAGACTTAAAAGCTTTGTCAGACTATTTCAGCTGCCAGTTTTATCTGAATGTTTTTGCTACAGGAAGGATGCTGTAGAATGGACATCATTATTTATCAGGGATTACTAGTGAATCCACTGCTTTTGTGCAGAACTTTTATATCTCTGCCCTGAGTGGAACCTTGTCAGCTTTTGTATTTGGGCCTTGCTTTATAAAGTAGCCCTACTATAGCTTGACTGAGAGAATAATCTATTTGTAGGTAGAAGACTAGTAGAAATCAGTCTGTCATCTCTTGCCATTAAATGGGTTTATTCTGGGGAAAGGGGTATAAAGCAAAGCTACCATGACACACATGATTGGAAAAGCCAAGGAGGGGGGGGGAGGAAAAGAAGGGAGGCAGCAAATCTAGCAGATTATAGTGATTTAGGTCGAAATTTCTGCTTTGGACAGAAAATTTGATATTTAAAAATATATTTCTGTGGAATAAATGTTCAATAGAACTGCTTTACGTTGTTGTAATTGTGTTTGAAAGATACTCTATCAGTGTATTTCTCATTGAGTGTCTCCTGGCCTGGTAACTTCTACATTTTACAAGAATTTATCAGTTAAAGCTGCGTCTCTGTACCAGTTCTGCCAGTTCTTTTTCCTCTCCATACACGTTCCTGTTTTACATACACATTCCACATTTCCAGGAAACTGTGCAAAGAGCTGACACACTGAATATTAAAGATCTCATCTAAGCGTGTCCAAGTCGGTAGGAAGACTCAGTGTTGACAGTAGCCTTTTGATTAAATCCTTAGGGCAGATTTTTCAAAGGTAAAAACGTAGATTAGGTGCTTCAGAAAATAATTCCTGCAGACACCTGATTTGTATCTTCAGTGCCTACTTGCCTTTCAACTGTGCATTGGGCCCATCATCAATCTTTGGAATTTCTGCCATATGTCCTACTGACTTTGCTGGCATGAGATCTTTTTATTAGGATGTACTCTGGAAATGATGCCAAAATAAATGACAACAAACCTAAAACGTCCATAAAACATATTATGCCATGTTTCTTTTATTTTGCCTTTTTATACTGCCTTTTAAATGAACCATCCTGTACGTCATGTCGAGTAATGCTTGGTTACACTTCTGGAGTAAGATAGAAACTGCAAATGTGAGTGGAAAAGGGGGTAATGGTGTTGCTGCTTTTGTCTTCTGGTGGTGTGTGTTGTGGACTTGGGGGCTTGTTTTGTTTTATTTCTATCCCCCTTCTGCCTCATTCAGACCAGAAACCTGTAGCTTCTTCCAGTTACTCAGCAGCAGGGCAGGGCTACCTGTAGAAAACCTGTTAGGTTTCTGTGTTAGTGCTGCAGATCTGGACAGCTTGAGTTCCCAGAAGCAACTGGGATGCATCCTGTGTTGAACCTGCAATCGATAGACACATGCTCATGGGCAGATGCATTTGGAAGAACCTTTATGTTTCACTTTTGCTGTGATTTCTATTTCTTGAAAATTATCTTAATTCACTGAGAACTGGACCCTGTTTTGATTTTGTGCTTTCAGAACAATATGTAATGCTAAGGGTAAAATTCCTCACTTGCTTCTTTCTTTTCTAGCATACTAGTGAATTGTGAAGTGGCATCTCCTTGGATGACCTTTCATCTGCATTGCTACCTGTCTGTTGTCTGACAAAAACTGATATGGGAAAAAAAAAATCCATTTCTTATATTTTTTTTTTCCCTTTTTACACCTGTGAAGAGAAAACAATGTGTAGTTACTTTTTTTTTTTTTGCATAGTATAGTGCACAATACGTAGATTTTTCCACTAAAATGCAAGACGTTTAATGTGCCTCTAACTTGTTGTTACGCAGGATGGTGATGAGTCATCTCCAATTTTAACAAGTTCTGAAATTGTTAAGATTCCAGACCCTCAGATGTCTATGGTAAGTGATGATACATGTAATGCAGTCCATATTGTTGTACTTCTGCAAATTCTGCATAAATGAGAGGTGAACGCTTGTCAGTATTATTCTCCTGAACAGTCTAAAAGGCCAATGGAAATATTTATCTCACCATTTGAGAAGTATCAGTGGGTTCAACTTTTCCTGCTAGATTAATATGTAATAATTGACTTAACACTTTTTCTGTCTTCTTTCCTTATCCAGTATTTTTCTGTCTTCTTCTTTCCTTACCCAATATGCTTGTTTCTGAGGTGTAGGAAAGCAGAGAAGGATATTTAGCAAGAGAGGTCAGGGGGTGGGAATGTAAGGTAGGAGGGAGCTGAAGAAGAGAAAGGAACATTAGAAGCTGCAGTAACTCTTCATCACCTAATTTGTTAAAATATTTTCTCCCTACACTCTCTTGTGTGTTGTCTTTTGTGTAGACAGTGCCTAAGTACAGTTCTAGAAAAGATTTCCATTATTGTGGATGCCAATTCAGTGGGACTGGTATTGGCAGCTTTGGGAACCTTAATGTAAGTGGGCTTTCCTGGCAACACTGTTTTGAGCACTGTGTAATCTAACACTGCAAGAGCAAGTCTGACAATGCTGAAAACTGCCTTGGCTGCTGAAATCTTGTTGACACTGTGGCTCCTATTGTTGCTCCTACTGTTGCTAACATGGTATTAACAGTGGGAATTTTTTTGAAAAGGTTTTTCTTGCATACAAAGCTTTGGACTGCAAACATCATGCTAAACATGTTTGCAAAGTGGCTAGCACGTTTGAGTGCTGTCTAAATCACAGATTTGTTGACTGAAACACTTGCATTTTGCAGCAATTAACCCAAAGGCAAGGTAGGGCTTGTAACTGTGTGAAATTTTAAATATATACATGTATTTATGTAGTTTTATGGAGTAAGAGAACGTATTTGTGAAAGTTTCTTCAAAAAATTTAAATCCAGAAGATGCTGTAGTTCTAGGTGTAAATTTCAGTTGCCATGCGTTATTCAAGGCACTGGTGAGTCTTTGCTAAACAGCTTCATTTCAGCAGTAATTTTCTCCGTAGTAGAAATACTTATAACTGCTAACTTATCCTCTGCCTTCAGGAGAACTTGGTAGAAAGCAAACATCACAAGCTTGCTCGGAGCTTAAGAAGTGGGCCTTCTGACCATGATCTCAAACCTAATGCAGCTACGCGAGATCAGCTTAATGTAAGTCACTATCTCCAATTTTATCAGAATTTTTTTTTGGTATTCCTGTGTTTTGACAATCTGAAGTAAATAAAATTCTCAGCTCCAAGGAAATCACTAATTCAGAAATGTCTTGGCATTACTAATCATCCTAGAAATGTTCATGTTTGCTTACATTTCCAGTTCATTCAACCTCAGCTGAGAAGTCCCTCTGTGACAGCTTGAGATGTGTGTGGTACTGGAGAGGTTTTTTCTAACCATGTTTTCAGTATTGTGCTTTAACTTAATGTTCACCTGTTCACATTCTCTTTTGCACTGTTTCTTTATTAGATCATAGTGAGTTACCCACCAACAAAGCAGCTAACATATGAGGAACAGGATCTAGTTTGGAAATTCAGGTACTACCTTACCAATCAGGAGAAGGTAAGTTGGTTCTCTTCAGGAGATGTATTAATGTAAGAAATAGTGTCTTGTTTTATCTAGCTCCAGTTTTCATTATGTTCTGTTCTTGCAGAGATAGAGCTTCAATGTGTCAGAAGCCAATCAAGATTTTTTTTGTACATTTTTATTGATTCACAATTAGTGACTCTTTTCCTTGAAAATCGTAGTAACCGGCTATTCTTACAGGAAGTCTTCCTACACATCCCGACTGACTGTTTAAAATACTATTGTTTCCAATTTTTCTTCAGCAGAGAATGATAAAAAGTGATAGCTTTTCTCTCTTTTAGACAAGCATTTGCATTACCAGTGTGTGCGCTAGTACACCAAAAACCCTAATTAATCACACAGCAGTCGACACTTTTTAGGTAACAGTGGTATAGCAGTAACCATTGACCTTACATTTTACTGTGTGATAGTTCAGATGCCACTTTTCAAAATATATTAAAGCAATCAAATAGCAAACATTAAACTGACCAGCTGTTCCACAATCAGTGCTTGTCAACAAAGGTGAGAGAGTGTGCCGTGCTACTGTTGATGGTTAACCAGTTGAGATTTTAAGTTTTTGATTTTATTTTTGAAGCATTTAACACAAGTGGGATAAATTAGTAAGCCATGTCTAGCAAGCTATTTTCTCTCACCTTTTTTCACAGTATAAGATCATAAAGCAAATGGCAGCATTAAGTATTCTCTGTATGTTGGTGGCATCTTAGAATTGACCTCTGTGGCTTGTGATCCTCAAATGGGATTGGTAAAAGACTTAGTGTCATCTTTTGGTTTACTGATGATTCCTGTCAATCCTCCTCTTAAAACTGGAAAAATGTTGTGGTAGATGTTAATAAATTTCCATAAGTTTATGCGAGAAGTGTTCTGTACAGCATCATATTAACTTGGAAGGTACCTCAGCAGGATTTGGACATGAAGTAGGCATTTAGTAAATACTCTATAGTATGCTTATGTAAACATAGCCTGAATCTAATTTTGCCTTGACTTGAAACATCAATTTCTCAAAATGATTGTTCACTCCTGTGTTAACATAGATAACTTATCCAATTTCTGTCTTTCTAGGCCTTGACAAAATTCTTAAAATGTGTCAATTGGGACCTCCCGCAGGAGGCAAAGCAGGCGTTAGAGCTGCTGGGGAAGTGGAAGCCCATGGATGTGGAGGACTCTCTAGAGCTTCTGTCCTCCCACTTCACCAACCCCACGGTGCGGCGATACGCTGTCGCTCGGCTGCAGCAGGCTGATGACGAGGTATTCGTTATTCTGAGAGTTAATGCCTGCAACACAGTTTTTTAGAATATTATCAAGTACTTCAAAAGTTTTCTAATGCGTTAAGTGAAAATAGTAGTCAGAGCAAACTGAAAAACTTCAATATGAGACTGTTTATTAAAAGTTCTTTGCCATATGGAGTTTTCCTGATATAAAAGTGGCATTTATTGATAGCTGTTTTTTGACAAAAAGGCTCAAATAGCCATGTATTCTACCAGTGATAAACTCTAGTATACAAAAGTTTTCCAACAAATTTGGTAAATCTGAAGTAGTACATCATTATACTATTTTCTTTTAAGAATAAAGAATCATCTGTGAAAATAAGGCATTTCTAATGGCATACTGATAGATGTGATGAGCTGTGATTTGGAAATATAGGCCACTTCAAGTGAAGCTAGGTTATAATTGCCATGTATTTTATTTTCTTTTGACAATAAAAAATAAATACTCGGAAAATAGCTTTTGACAGTAAAAATAATACTTGGAAGATATCATTGTAACTTTTCAATCAGTAAGGGTGAAAATAGGGAATACAAATAACTATAATTTTAGCAAACCTTCCTCAACAGTCAAGGTAATGCGTTGATGTAAACGCACATTTTGCAAAACACTGAGGGCAAATAAATTGCCAGGTGTAATAGCAGAGGGAACATATTCATTAAAAATAAGTTATAAAAATAATTTTTCAGTCTCAGATAACTGGTAATAAATCCCAATATCCTATCAAAAGAAATACGTGATGGTGCATAGACGAATGTGAATTCTTGGTATCCTTGTCCAGACTTTGTGTTGGAATTCTGTTCTCAGAAGTCACAAACTGAAAAGTTTGGTTTATGGGTGCTGGAAGCAAGTAAGGCAGCGTAACTAAAGAATATTCTAAAGGAGCAGTAGCATTGCATATATCCCCCCCTTATTATTAGCATTTACAGCTTCTCAGTAATGTAGAAGTTCTTGAAATAAGAACTGAGTATCTTTTGTGAGTGAGTGTTCATCATGGACTAGTTTTTCAGTAGTATATTTCACTTGCTAGTGAGACCTTATTTCTGCTTCCTCAAAGTTGCTCTTCAGATGGAGTTTTGAAAATGTGAGAGTTCCAAGCGGTTCTGACTGACTCTTCAATTTCTTTTCTTTTTTCTTCCCTGAGGATTTGCTGATGTACCTGTTACAGCTAGTCCAGGCACTGAAGTACGAAAACTTTGATGACATAAAGAATGGGCTGGAACCGAGCAAGAAGGACAGTCAGGGCTCCATGTCTGAGAACATGAGCACGTCTGGAACCAGCAGTGCAGAAATAGAAAGGTAAAAAGCTAGAATTTGAAATGAAAGAGCAGTAGTAGCTGATGTTGTTAGCCCTGGAATTCTTTTTCGCTTGTAGGGACTAATGCATATTCGACATTGAGACTTTATAATCTGGAGCACTGATGTAAAATATATTTAACCTCTGAGCTTTCACAGAATCTATTTTCCCATTAATCAGACTGTTACACAAAAATCTTGATCTAAGAGCTTTGTGGAGTCTGAGCTGGCAAGTTTTCTTTTCCTGTTGCTTCAAAAGAAGAGGAAGAGTCCTGTGAACACAAACGAACTGGGCAGCACATTTACTTCCTCCAGGAATATAAAAGAAAGCCCCAAACATTTGATTAATGCAGTATTAAGTAAGGCACAAACAAACTTGATTAAACAGAGTTCTCAGTTTGAACTCCCTGGGAATACTTGGTACAAATTTCCAAGGCTTCAAGTCTTAATTTCAGTATCTAATCACTGAAGTCCCTAGTATATGCTGTTCCTATTGCAACTGTTCTGCTCTGCATTGATCCTGCAGAGTCGGGATGCATAGTATTTTTTGAGGTTTTGATGCTTCATAGACATTAATAAACCCGCTTGATTGCTTCCTATCAAATAAATCTACTGTGCAGAAATTTTGCCTAGCAAGCATTGAGTTTGCTTACTCTGTTGCATGCAGTCGCATTGCAGAATCGAGTGCTTGCAGGTGTTATATATTAGAAATTTCATCATAAAACTGTATTTTAAAAAAGCTTATACTGAACACTTGGATTTGTTAAATCTCTGTGAATATCTGCCTATTTTCTACAGAAGCTGAAAGCAAAATACTAAGTTCAGTGTGAGTGAATGTTCTTCACAGCTATAAACAAACAACGTAGTTATCCTGGCATTGCAAACAGATTTCTTTGCTGTTTTCCAGGGAGGGGCAGCAGCTTTTGTAACTGCTGATCACGCACTTTGTCTTCCATTTCTTTGAAGATACTTCTCTTAGTTTTTCGAATTTAGTATACCGTGGGAAGTGAAATGCATTGCTGTTCTAGCATGCAACAAGAACTTTGCAATATGTTAATTATATGTTTTCCTTTATTTGTAGTTCCCAGATCATGAGTCCAATTCCTCCTGTTTCTTCACCACCTCTTACTTCTAAGACAAAGGAGCTTGCAGACAATGAAAACCTTGATGTAAGTCAGATGCTTTGGTACCTTTGTTTTCCGTAATGGGAAAGTGCTCCCTTTTACAGAAAGCTGTCACACATGCATTAGATAGTAATAGTTGCATATAGCTGAGGTATTTTTAGGAGAAAAAATGTGTGGAAAGCAGTTATCCAACTATATTAATCCCTGCAGTCTGTTATTCCTAGAGCTTGATTTCAAGCTTTTCAGTCCTAGAGCTATGGATTTTACTTTTCTGCTTTTCATAGAAACTGAGTGATAAAAATGGAACTTGAGGGAGGAGAAGATGGAGTAAAGATAGTTGTCAAAATATAGTTTAATCTCATGTTCAGTTAGTTAATTGGAAAATGTAAAATGTCCATCTATAGTATATTATATTAAAGGTTTATAGTTGGAAATTACCATATATCTACACAGTGTTTGTAACTATTTTACTGTACAGACAAACTTTTTCTGTAGTGTTGCTGCTAGATTTTTTAGAGAAATATTAAAAATAATATGACCTTATATTAGGTCAGATTAGATGAGGCCTTTAAAAGAAAATTATTTTCTTAAAATCCTCTGCAAAATTGCAGGGAGTTTTTAATTTACTTTGTGTCTCTTTCAAGTGCTCAGATTTCTTATATAACTTAATTTTGTCTTCCTTAAATCCCTTTAGCAAGATCTTTGCACTTTCTTGATATCACGAGCATGCAAAAATTCCACGTTGGCAAACTACTTATACTGGTATGTTTGAAACTATTTATTTATAATATCCGAACGGCTTCTTGGAATCAAGGCTGTAATACCCAAAAGGGTGCCCAACAAAAGAGAACTTTAAAGTATTTATTTCTGGCAAGATGAAGTAGTAGGTTTAAAACAATAGCACAGAGGCAAACAGAATGATTAGTAAAAGGAGTGCACTCGCTCTTTAAAGTATGCACACCGGTCTTTAGCAAGGCATTAATTACACAGTGATGAAAAAAGAGGAAAAAAATTGCTCACTGTATGGTTTGAATCATCATTCAATTAGTTTGTGGTGGCGGGGAGGAAATAAGCTCATCTTCTGATCTACTTTTACATTTGGTTTGTGTTCATACTTTTTCATAATGTGGGTTAGAGAATTAAATTTAGCCACTTTATATCAAGAGTGTATTTTATGAGAGATCATAAAGCACTCTAAGCCTACTTTGATAATCTGATTTTTTTTTTTTTTTTTTTAGATTCCATTTATGAGTATGTTATGAGCACAAACAAAATGTCATTGTAGATGTGTTTTCCTAAGGGGATACTTTAGCTGCAGTTAGTTCATCTAAATAGTGAAAAGGTAAGATGACTCTTCAGAATCTTGTATTTCTTCTGCTATTTAGGAGTAAAGTTAGTTGCATAAACTCACCTTCATACCCTTTTTACTTAATGGAGTATTTCCAGAGCTGAATTTTCATCTTACCTCATTTTAAGAAAGTGAGATGAATACAGCTGTACTCCAGAAACCCACACAAACATGTGTGTATGTATAAAAACAAATGTGTGTATATATGCACATATGTTCACATATATATCTCAAAGGACATCTTAGATGTCTTTTATGCAGCTAAAATTTAGTCAAATGACTGTCATTTATATCCTTTTAGAAACCTCTAATAATGAATAAAAACGTTCATACACTTCATATGTGAATTATATTATCCACAGATACTCTGTGAATTTCAAATTGGTTGTGATGTAACAAAATAAATTTCCACTGATTTATATATATATATAAAAAAACTTAAGAATCCTAATCTACCCTGAGAGTGAATCCATTTGTAAATCCATCTTTTCTTGTTTTATCTTTGATTGTTTTCTCAACAATTTGAAGTTAAAACATTTAAGTGTATGATTTAATGACAGTTCCTTAGTATGCATATATAAGTATTTGCAAAGCTAATGGTTAGAATAATAGAATAAAGATATTTAATCAAAATAATTGCGGCTGGATTGATATGGATAGAAACCAGATATTTGACCTAGTCAGTTTTTTTTTTTTTTTTAAGTTAAATGTTGTTAGATTAGCCTTCATCTGTGACATGATGAGCAAAGTTGAAATTTTTTCGGAATTAGTTCAGCTCTGTTACAAGTTTTTCCTCAGCTAACACCTTGATTTAAACAAAGCACTTATATTTTAGCATCACCTCAGACATTTAGTGTACAGAAAGTTTAGAAGTATTTACTCTAAAGTTTTTGTCTTCTGACTGCAAAATAAAAACAAAAGACTCCGAAGCAGTCCATTCATTCTTTGTTTTCTTTCCAGACATCTCAATTTCTCAGTGACAAAATACAAACATTGCAGCCACTGTTAGAGCTGATGCAGCCATAAATCCTCTTGGGTGCTGATCAATTGCTTGTTTCGACTGTCCAGGCACAGCATGCACCTAAAATAACCAATGGAAAAAGTAGAGTAACCCTTGAAATTTCAACCTTATTCACTTTCCATTCTAAAGCTGTCCTAACCTTATGCTTTCACAGTGCCTGCAGAGGTCACAGCTGTTTATTTTTCATTCTCGTCTTTGGAGGTATAAGTTCCTAAAGAATTGTTCACTTCCTGAAGAATTGTTTAAAGGTTTATTTTTTTTTTATTTATTTATCCTTTTTCATGAGGAAAGATGGAAATAGCTGACTTCAATTCATTACTTGTTATTTTCCTTGAACTTTTGGTGCATAGACTTTGCAAATCCACACTTTTAGATTTTTATACTTCTATTAATGCCATCTAATGTGTCATTTTTAGTTGTGCAATACTGTAGGACAATGAATCAATAAAGTTTCAGAAGTAACCTCTAGTTACAAGTTTTATTGAGATAATATTACTCATGAAAGGAGATACTTATGCCATGTTTTAATGTGTATTGAAGGTGTTAAGCGTATTCAGAAATGAGCTTAGTAATATTTGACAAGCACAAAGTTAATATTTTAACTGATTCTTCTAGAGTTTTTAGGTCAATATGAAAAATAAAATCTCCTTTTTTGTGCATACAAACCTTAATTATTTGTTTTGAAAGAAACCAAAGAAACAGTAAAATCTACCTCTGTAACATATCCATACAGCCCAGAAATGTGTATGCTTGCAGCTCTTTCAGTTAGCTATCAAACTGATGTTCCTTCTAGATTTTCTCTTTGTTTTGGGGAGGAAGGAGGTTTGGATTATGGAGAAGAGGCGTTGTTATTGATGTAAGCTGTAGACAACTGACTGACTTTCATTCGACTTCTAAGTATCCACCAGGAATTTTCCAACCTATAATTTAAAGTAGCAATACAGGATATATTGACATCTTTTGCTATACTGAACGGAAATTTATACTGATTTCAGCGGAACTGAAATCAGTATGAAATCAACATAGAGTTTTGCTGACCTTCCTTTTAGTTATCTATATATTTTTTTTTGATTCAGCCTTTTTCTGTCATCATTCTTTAACACTTGCAAAAGAGTCCAGATAAACCAATGCTGTGTTTTCACAGCAAGTCATCTTACCCTTTCAAATACCACCAGTGCAGGAGAGCAAACATTGCATTTTTTTCTTTCGGTTCCAAATAAAAGCAGACTCCAATCTTCTACCATAATTGACTGAAAACAAATGCTGTGTAAGCACATAAGGGAAGAATAATTCTAACCATTTGTGAAAAAACATGTTACTTCTGTGTGTAGCCTCTTGCGAATCAAAATGCAGTGTTTGAAAGACCGACTTGATAATTTCTTTATTGAAGAATAACATGCTTAACTTTTCTTGGGCAATGCTATAGGATGATGTGCAACAGAAGGAAGATCTTCGCTTTGCGTTTTTGCTGTTGTGGATAGAAACAAGCCTAAAAGCTTTTTGAGGAAGTTTTTATCAACTGCTCAAACTAAAGTGTCAGTATAGCAATCTTAAATTGACTTAAAATTTTGATTCAGCTACGAAAGTTAGAAATGAATCTTATTTCAGAATATAGACCTTATAGAGCTTTACAGGGGTCAGTCACGTGTCTTTCAATGTTACTGCTGGCAGCACAATGCCAGAATCTCACGCAGGTAATGTGTGATTTTGCTTTTGCAGGTGCACTTAGTTGTTTCTAGCCTCCCTATTATGCTTGGACTGTAGGTTAGTGGAATACCTGCTCCCCCTGTTTGTGCTGATTGTTTTGGGTCTTGTCCTGTTGTCCCTTTGGTGTAAGTCAAAGTCCTCAAACTGTTAGTTCTCCGTATCTAAGCCAGAACTTGTCTGACGGTGCAATTTTGAGGACTTCGTGAGATCTCCACAAGGTTAAGGTAGATTGAACTGACGAGTGACTTCATTTAGCTCTGTATTTATAGTAGAAGGCTACTATATTTCATTCAAAAATTACATTCTTTGGCTTGTTTTTATGCTGCAGGTATGTAATAGTGGAGTGTGAAGACCAAGATACTCAGCAGAGGGACCCCAAGACCCATGAAATGTACTTAAATGTGATGAGAAGATTCAGCCAGGCTTTGCTAAAGGTAATGCTTTGTGTAAGGAAATACCTAATGGCTTGGGATGAGCCATCCTTTTAAAAAGGCAGAATTGCCTAGGAGAAGAACAGTCCTGCATTTAAAATCTACGAAACTTACAGTTTTCTTAGAATATTCACTATGGTGAAACAGTAACTTTACTGAAAGATGCGAGGAAGTTTTGAGAACTTCACCTTTTTTGCTTTCACGTCACCTTACGATGAATACATTTTAAAATCCTCTGCCTTTTGTTATCAGTCTGTTTCAATAAGTGTTTCTTCACTGGAAGCACTCGGCCTTGCAGTGCAAGCTTGGGAAGTGCAGGAAGGAGAGAAGATAAGCCTGTCTTTTATATTCCAAACCAGTGCTGTTTGGTATATCAGCAGCAGAGGGTGCTGAAGCAATGAGGAGGAAAGCAGAAATAAAGTCTTCCAAATCACAGCTGATATACAGAGCAGATGTGCAGTCTTTGCTGGTTTTAGTGCATCTCACACTTTACACTTAATTCCCATTTTAGCAATGTTATTCAAATATCTGTGACTCTTAGGATATGTAAGAATATTGTGTGCTGCTGTGCTTATCCTTACTAACTTATTTTGGGTGTGTTGAATAAGCCTGTCATGCATGGATGTTCACGACTAATTATTGTTCATGCAAATTAAAGTGCACTTGTAGGTCAGATAATTGTTTGCTAGCTACAATGTTTCAGATTGTTTTACACAAAATATCTTTCAAATTGAAAGGAAATTGATCTCTATTCACTTACTTTCTAAAAGTCCATAGGTCTAGGATTAAAGGAACAAATTCCAGATAAAATGATTATGGAACAAAGAGCTAATTTTGTTTCTTTTAATTCACTTAGGGTGATAAGTCTGTCAGAGTAATGCGCTCATTGTTGGCCGCCCAGCAGACATTTGTAGATCGTCTAGTTCATCTAATGAAAGCTGTGCAGCGTGAAAGTGGGAATCGTAAGAAAAAGGTCAGTACAGGATTGGAAGAGTTATCTCTGTCTAGAATTTGAGGACTGGAATACTCATTTTTTCACTAATAACTGTTAGCACTGAGATGTGTTAAGCGTGCATCTTCCCTCTAGTAATTTTAGGCAGGATTAAGCTTGGGGGAGAGGATTAGATGGCTTGAAGTTCCTACGTGTTCTGAAACTTGGTGTTTGGAACAGACAGATGAGGCCTTCTATCTAGTGGTCTGGTTATCATGCTGAGGGCAAAAGCACATAGCCTATTTACTTACTACGTGTGTTTGGTGAGCCAGCGAATGAGGAGCTGTGCTCAGCTGACTAATCCACATAAAGATATAACTCATCTCTATGATGCTGTATTGCCCAGACTAAAGGCTGAGTAAAAGAGCTAGATGTTACAGGGTTTGGGTTTAAGGGAAACATCTTGGCAAATGGAAGATATAGAAAACATGGAAAAAAATGATACCCCCTATAACATCTTACCGACATATGGGAAGTGAGCAGAGATTGATATGGTGTGAAGATTATACAAGGATAGATAAATTCCATTAAATAAGGTCTAATTTGTTACAAGATTTCACTTGCAAAACTTTTATTTTATGGGACGGGCAGGCGTAGTAGAAAGGTTGCATCTTAAAGAGTAGGCTTTCCGTCATAGATTCAGTTTAAGATGCTTTGCCTCACCTAAGATGATTACAGAATATACTTGACACACTGATATGGGGAGAAAGCAGAAATGCCAAAGAGATTTCCGTTCATGCTTTTTCTCTATAGATACATTTATATATAGATATATATAACTACTTTCTCAGTCTTTTTTCAATGTAGTATCAGCAACTTTTATTTCTTTACACCTGTGAGGTATGTTTTTGCACGAAAAGAAACACTTGAGTTCTGTGTAATTTTTAAGATTTTTTTTTTAGGTGTTAGGCATCAGTAATAAAGATGTAATTGCTAAAAGGAAATGATTGTGTTCTTGGAGGAATGTTTAATTCATAAGAATGTGTTTCTTGCTTGCACATTATAGTGGAAACAGATGCACTTTTATAATTACCAAGACATTTCTGTGAAACTAAACACAGGGCTTTGATTCTGGATTAAAATGAAGCTGGCAGCAATTAACCTCTCTGAGTGTTCCCAACAGTATTGGACTACCTTGCTCTGCCTCTTTGTTCGTAGTAGAGACTTTCATGTATATGATTCTTGTTATGTAGGACAGCAAGTGTAAAGTACTAAGAAAATTGACTGGTACTGAAACTCTGAAACTGAATTTGTGGTATCTACAGATACAGGAATGTAGAGCAAGCTCTGAAATCAGATCTACGGAGGCACTTGGCAATTTGGTTCCCTGGTGATAGGGAATCTGCCTGAGTTCAGGGATTTACAGGATCAGACCTGATGACTTGAAACAAGTTTCTAAAATAGAACTAATAGTGATGCTGGTATAGAAAATAAACCATCTTGCTACTTTTGCAAGCAATTTAAAAATAAGTTATTGCAAGCCTATTGTATCTAAATGGCTCAATCAGTTTGGGACTAAATGGAATGTCTCCTCGCTCGTTCAGATTACTGCAAATGCAGAAATCTTATTTCACTGGACTTTGAATGAAAACTTTTTGTTCTTTGAAAGAATAGAGTTGAATAAGTGTTTTTTTTTAAAAAAAAAGTATATATTTCTTTAAAAATACTTTCTTTAAGTTACTATCTGCTGCTTTAAATAATGAGGTCTTGCTTCTTTTATTCTTTCAGAATGAGAGGCTACAGGCATTGTTGGCAGATAATGAAAAGATGAATTTAGCAGACATGGAACTCATCCCACTTCCACTGGAACCACAGGTGAAAATTAAGGGGATAATCCCTGAAAAAGCTACACTCTTCAAGGTAAATGAGATCTTCTGAATAGTTGAAATCTAACCCAATCTCATAATCACCATGCTTAGAAACATCATCTGGCAGATTTTGGGCGAGAGGCTGACACAATGAAACCAAAAATCTAACTGTGAAGTGCAAACTATAAATTGTGAACGGTTACAGTGTTTAGTGGCCCTCACAATAAGAAAGTTTTTCTCATGTTCAGATGGAACCAGCTGCTTGTGGCCATATGACCAAATCCTGATCTGATGACAGAACATAGCTTAACAGAAATACATTGTTGGAAGGGCTGGGGTTCCTTTTCATCCCATAGTGCTCGAAATCTAAACTATGTCTAGTGATGTAGGCCATCCCTATGAAATTTACTTCAACTTGCAGAGTCTACTGCAGTCTAATGTTAAGGTGACCCTCATGTACTTGAGTGGCCAGGCTGAGAAGCAGGAGGCAGTGTGCAGTGTTAACAAAGCGTTCAAGCTGTCATTGCAACTCTCGTTAAACCATTATCTCTACTAGTTCCTAAACCTGTGCTCAGTAATTTGAAACATGGTTGACAGATTCCTTGTTGAAAGTGAATAACTCGTGACTGCAGAAATCAGAGGTGAAGCTTTTTCCACATTTTTCTACCACCCAGTCTTTTAGTTCTAAAGCTTTGGCAAGCTTCTTCATGTATTTGTTATTTTCTTTGAAGAGGGTACTTGTTCTGTTCCATGCTCTTACGCTTTGAGTTAGAGGCAGCATTGGAGAGAATTTGTCAGCCCTTGTCATAAAAGCAAGGTTTCACGAGCTGGAGACTCGACTTGCAGTGTGAGTGGGTTTTAAAAGAAAACAAACAAACTGAATAGTTATTTCCACTGTGTCACCGGAACAACATCCAAATGTTCCCTATCAGAAACAGCAACCTGTCTGGTAAAAAGTCAGATGGTCTTCTGTTGAATGGCCTTTTTTAACACAATGAAAATTTAGGGCCAATATAAGCAAACTAAAGAAGAAGGGGAAAAAAAAGAACATAAATATACATATGAAAATATTGGCCCAAAATACTGATTTCATGTAAAAATCTTTAATGAAACTGCTCAAATAAAGACTGTAATTTTGATTATTTTTTAATTATTGTTGTTTTGATTTTGAGAGCAGTAACTTGGTCAGTTTCAAAATATGAAGTTATTCATGTAGGTAATTGATCCCCCTTCAATCCATTTTGTACAGCAAAACTGCAACCACTGAAATTAGATTTCTCACAGCACAATGAAAAGACATGCTTGCTTTAAGTTGATTAAGAAAGCAATTAATTGTTCGAGATATCTCACTGCTAGCTTTCTTTTAGTGTGTAGTTGTCTCTGTCCATCCCTCTTTCTCTCTTCTGCTCAGTTTAGATTTTGTTTTATGTTGATCTTTTGCATGGTGTCTCTATGAGTATTTGGATTATGTACATGCAAACAAAATTTGTGCCCTTCTTTCTTCTGATGCTGCTGTGGACTTTCTGTTAACATTTTTTTCTCTTTCAGTAGTGGAAAATATAAAGAGTTTTCAAAAAAAAAATGCCTAGAATATATTCTAAGTAACTAGAATTCTAAGTATATATTCTAAGAATATATTCTAAGTAACTTTGAGTCTCAGGTAGTATATAGTTGATTTAGATGATTTTTAGAATCATTTTTCTTCTGCCAAATTTAAAGAAATTTAAGGAACTCCTGTTCTTCAGTACCATGCCATAGGTAACCAAATATGGCTATTTGATGTATTTTTGTAACTGAATTTAATATCTGAAGCCCATGATTCAATACTAGTTTAAAACATTTTTAATTTAATGTATATAATTTTTATCTTATAATTCAGAATGTTAACATTGCTATGAACGAATTTAGTAGAGTAAGTTTCCTTTTCCAGAGTGCCTTAATGCCTGCTCAGTTATTCTTTAAGACAGAAGATGGAGGCAAATATCCTGTAATATTTAAACATGGTGACGATTTACGCCAAGATCAACTTATACTTCAGATTATTTCCCTCATGGATAAGGTGAGAATTTCTAACACATATCCTTATTCTTCTAAGCTATAGGTTCTTCCTGTCAAGAGCAAAAATGGGAAAACCAGTTAATGCAGCTGAATTCAGTTTTTCAGTTGCTAACGTTTTTTTTGTCGACGTTTTTTGTATTTCTTTGCTGCCTTATTCCTCCTTTAGATCTAAGCAAAGATCCTCTAGGTAGAAGGATCATCTGTAATAAAAAAAATGACTAAAATTACTTGGACTTCACTGATTTCTGTGAAGAGCAATAGAAGATTTATCTGTGTTCTTGTTGTACTCATGTTTACGTTTCCCTTACAGCTGTTAAGAAAGGAGAATCTGGATTTGAAACTGACGCCCTATAAAGTGCTGGCAACTAGTACAAAACATGGTATTAATACCTTGTTTTTAATGATTTTGTTCTTGTTTTGTTTTTTAAGCAAAAAAACAGAAAACAGGAGGAGTTTTCTTCTCTGTTCATAGACTGTCATGATGTGTTTCTATAAGAGATTCTTTGCTTAATACAGTGTTCTAAAAAGTTCAAATGTGTAAGATAATCTTGTGAAAGTGTAAGACTTGTAGAAATGACAAAATTTAAGTGAATATGATACTCCATAGGAGATTGAAATGTCTTAATAAAAGAAGCCAAGTATCATTTTTGAAACAGTTAGTAGAATATGTATAGCGTCATTTTTACTTACTGTCTTGCTGTGTAATCTTGGGCAAATCATTTGTAGTACATTTGTAGTACAATTATTATCATTTATCAATTTCTCCATTAAATAAATGAAGAAATGATATGGCTACATTTTTAAGTACATTGTGGTATTGGATAAATACTTTAGAATGCCACTGATGGATTTTTTTGCAGTTTTCGAGAATATTTGGAACAGCAGACCTTTGTAAACTAATTTAGAATCATGAAAAGTAATCTTAAAATTCACTGAAGTCTGGAAATTGGAGAAAACTGTTGACTGACAGTGCATTAGTGTTGCCCTTTTATTAAGGAGCATTATAGTTTGGCTTGAGTTCTGTATATTGGAGATTTATTGGTTGTCTTTTGTCACAGGTTTCATGCAGTTTATTCAGTCAGTCCCAGTTGCAGAAGTTCTTGCTACTGAAGAAAGTATACAGGTATGCACTGCACTCTGCTCAGGAAGTATGTACTGGGTCTCGTGCATCAGCCCTCCTGAGCCTTTCACTGACTTCTGTATTTTCTGTTTAGAACAGGGATTCCAAACTGAAACGTAGGTGTACACACAGCGGATTGTTTCAGAAAAACAACACTCTTAAATCACCACATCACTGTCTCATGGCCTAAAAATAGTACCATTTAAACAACTAGATTATAATTCAGTTGTGCAGAAATTTTGACTTCACTGATGACTGAAAGAAGCATATTTGAAAGTATCTGTGTTGTTCAGTAGTTCTCTCCATGGCACCTTGTTTAAATACGTTTTAATGCTTTTTTTGCTTCACCTGCTAATAGTTCTGAAATCCATTTCCCTGCCAAGGCAAATACTTAGATACTCTGATTAGTTAAGAACAAGCTTTCAGTAACAGTCATGGAATTGAATAGAGATGTGTAATTAGCAACACACAATTCTTGGTACCTTTACATATATATGAATATTCATATATAAAACAGACAAACATTTAAATATATCTGTACTTAACATATATCAATCAAACTGCCAGCAGCCATATACTATATATTTTAAATAGCATAGATACCCTAGCTGTAGTTTAGTACTCTTTAATGAAAACACAGTGTTATTTTTGTTGGATTCAGTCTGTCAGAGGTGTGAGTTGGTGGATACTAAAGTGTTCGTGTGGTCATAGCTCAGGAACTGTGAAACAAAATAAATCCTAGCCTGTTTAACCTACATGTATGAAACCATAGAGGCAGCAAATCCTGGCCAGTCCAATCAGACAGAGACCAACATCGTTGCCTATATTCCTGCTCAGTATTTTATATGTTGTGGTAATTCCCAACTACAATGACATTCATCCATAGTTTAGAAAGTATTTCTTCTACAGTCCTTTATAATCTTGCAGTTGTACTATTTTATGTTCTAGCCTGTTTTCTTAAAAGTGACTTTTTATGCAAAAATGCAAATGCAATTATCATTTTTCAATTATTTATGAATCATACCTATTTAAAATAGCTTACCCACTGTTTTAGCTGATCTGCAGATCTAAGGAGCAGTCCTGTCTCAAAAGAATTGTTAATTTAAATAGACAAGACTCTGAAAGAATGTTATCTAAGGTAACTTCACAGGTGAATGGCAAAATACATTATTGAACCTGGGTTGCCTGTGCTGCCAACGATGGTAAAATATTTGGCCAGTGTAGAACGAGGAAATGAAAGTTAAATGAGTGCTTTTAAGCATCATGCAAATTCTGTAAGTTTGTCTTCTACTCTCCAATCTTTAATGTGAAGTCTAATTTTACTTGCTGATATAAAATTTTGGAGCACTGAAAGGAGAGCTATTAAGTACACCATTAAAATCGGTTGAAAACTTCCTTCATTTCCTTTAAGAATTTGATTTAAGAGGAACTTTCTTAGGTCTAATTTGGTTAGTTGGGAGTGATTATTTGTTTGTTGAAGGAGATTTAATAGTTCTGAAAGCACTTCTGTATTTGGCTTCTGTGATCTAAGCAGGAAGATTAATACCTGGGGGGGGGAGGGAGGGAATGTCATAGCAATAGCGATTTGTGGGCTTAATCTAAATTGCTTTGTTCAGTTAGCCCTAAAGATTTTGTCTAAGATTCTCATAAAATAAATATGCGTTTTTTAATGTTGTTTTGTTTTGTCTTCTTTTGCATAGAACTTTTTCAGAAAGCATGCACCTAGTGAGACTGGGCCTCATGGAATAAGTGCAGAGGTGATGGATACATATGTTAAAAGCTGTGGTAAGTTCAGAAGTGAAATATTCCCTTCACAGAAATCAAAATTTTAGAAAATGTTATTAACAACAACAAAAAACTTTAGTCTACTCTATCTGCTGCTTTCCCATTCTTTCTGATGGCTCAAGACTTTGGATTATTTTGGACTATTCTAGCTAGCAGGTAAAGCTAGTAAGAACACTTTTTATTAGTTGCAATTTATTTGCGTAGTGTTGACATAAATAATACAGATCTGAATGTGAAGTATCTTAATTCCAATGTTGGAGTAACCAAGTATTACTGCTAATATAGTTGCACAGTAAAATATAATCTTGTCGTACTGAATATAGTCTGTAAATTCATTTTATTACTTTAGATGTTCCTCATGTTGCTGGTAATTCTTAACATCTTTCCCACATTCCCCCCCATCCTTCAGGTCCTTTGGTATATGATTACTTGTGAACCAAAATTAATATATACTGTTGTTAATGATGTGAAACTTATATTTCTTCAAGAAAGATATCTCTATTGATACAGTTTATTGTTACAGCTGGTTATTGTGTAATTACTTATATCCTTGGAGTTGGTGACAGACATCTGGATAATCTTTTGCTTACGAAAACAGGTAATATTTTTAGTACTACAATCTAATAACAGTCTTTGTTTAATTTCTGATCTGTTGTTACTGCCTTGCTTTTTTATTTTCTGGATGATAACACCCACTGAGTATTCTAGACTACATTTTTTTTTCTGACAAACTATATTGTCAGATTTAAGACAAGTGATCAAATACGAGAAACTTCAGAAATTTTTAGTAGTTTGAAGTAGAAGCTGAACCCTTAGAAAGCATATAGATTATATAAGTACTGATTAAAATTAGTGCTATATCTGCAATGCATTAAATATTCTCATTGAAACTGACTGAAAAATAAGTTAATTATGTGCTGAGATGTATTTTTAACAAAAATCTTAGTAGTTGAAATACAGCATTTGTTTGCTATGGATTGTTGAGATCAGCTTTAAAATGGTGTAGATGTGTAGGTAATAGAAGTCTTAAGTTCACCTAAACATGACTATGTTTATGAACAGTGAATTTCTTCTGGTCTTTGCTCTTATATGCAAATTATGCAACAGGAAGATACATGCACTGAACTAAGATTTGGTCTGGTTTTGTTTTTTGGTATAACCCAAGAATTTCTTGAGTCTAGTATAATTTCACTGTCTTCCCTTAGGGTCAGGAAGTAAGTCCTGTTATCTTAGAGCAGGCTTAAAATCATTCATGATGATTTTCCAGACCTCTTTTCATCCTTGCTTTCGGCTCTGGACAATTATGATCGTTTGGAAAGTAACTTCAATTCCAAGTCTTTTAATTGTTCTCTATTAATTTAACTTTTCATTACACTGTCACATTCATATATCATAGGTTCTTTCACATGCTATCAGAAAGCAATTTCAAGATCTATTAATTTAATGATTTGTAAAAAGTCTGGCCAGAATGACTCAGCCATTGCTCTACGCTCCCAAATATGGGACAAGTTCAGACATACATTATCAATAGTCATAGGGATATTAGATATTATCTTGATGACTTTATTGAGATATCCATGCAGATCCTTGTCCCCAGTTTGAATGTCTTTTAACCCCTGAGGTCCTGTGAGTTTTACAGGTCTTGTCTCTTTTCATAAGAGGCTAAAAACTGGGAATGCCACAGAGCGAGACTGACATAAACATTTTCTGTTTCCTAATAAATCTTTTGGGGAGGTTAAAAAGGGACATTTACACATGCAGAAAGTTCCTTAATTTTAGTCAAAATACTTTATATGAAAGAATAAAATATTGGGCACAGACCCACGATTAATATAAAAGGTTTTGCTCTAAACATTTGGGGGAACAGTTCAAGTGAATGTTTTTCCTTATCTACCTGGGATTATACAGGTAGAGGCCTAGTTATGGACTAGTCATTGTTCTGCGTTTCGTAGAGCAGACACTGCTTGCTACATCAGGGTAGCAATATTTCAGTGTTTGGATTTTTGCATATATCTTCCCTTTGTTGGAAGGTAACAGCAAAATTGCAGTTTGGCTCATTGGAAGAATTTAAGCAGTGCAGCAGAGGGCAGCACATGTCCACAGTAAGTTCATAGTCTGAAATTCTTTTCAGCTTTTACCTGTGCTCTGTGTTGGTGTCCCCTATTATGACTTAGAGACATTTTCAACCTTAGAAATTGAAATAGCTGCAGTGATCTGGGTGTCTAAAATTTTGGTGTCTAGATAAAATCTAATGCCTTTATAGGTTGAGCTCTATAAGAATATAAATAGTTCAGAGGATCAAGTAGGCTTCCTCTGTTGTCTGAAGTGACTTCTCTTGTAGATCTCTTCATGTTTTTAAAAGAAACCAGACCCCCTCATCCACATGATTGCTGAAGGACTGGTAATTAGCAGTACTTCGAAATAAACCAGTGTTCACAGTCCTTTGTCTTTAATTGTGAATAATTAATAATACATTAATTGTGAATAATTAATAATACATTGCTAATAATCAATAATCAAGATGCTTTTCAGATTAAGAAGCAAATAAATGGAAAATACATTACAAACTGGAGTGAAAATATGATGGTCTAAGAAACCAAGGCATAAATATTGTGGCAGTAACAGTCTAGTGAAGAAAGAAAATGTGTTACACAGAATTCACTACCACGTAACTGGAAGGTTAAATTATAATGATTTGTAGGTACCATACTGTTTGAGTATGAACTAAGAGTTGAAAAGAGTCATTCAAATGAAAAGGGACATTTTTTTTTTTCCTTTAGCTTTCAGGAGCTTCAAATAAAGACTACACAAATTGCTATGTGTCATTCAAAAAAATGAAAACAAACTTGATAGCTGCCAGCATATAATGTTATAAGTTCTTCGATAGACAGTTTTCAGCTCTGATTATTAGTTGTGGGTGGGTGGAGGGTTTTTTATCTGAGGACAAAAAATTCAGATCAGTAGTGTTTTGAAGAACAGTATTTTTGGAGGAAAAACAAGTGATTAAGCTGACAAAAACAAATTCCTAGGTTACTGCTGATGGCTTTTACCTCCTCCCTTATGGACACACATCTTGCATGATAGCCCGGCTGGAGGACAATATGTGCTTTTCACAATAGATCAATTCTGACAGAATGAAAGTAATAAATTATATTTACCGCGTCAGAATTGTGCCTTTTGAGTAAAAATTGCTATAGCAAACCAATGTTCTGTTTGAAGCTTGCAGGATCTGGAGCAGCTGTTTTATTCAGAGCCAGAGTGTTGAAGTTCCTATTTTTATCCTGCTGTTTCTATTACTGTTCAGTATATCCTGGCAGCACTGATATTGTCAAGCAGATCTCAGAAACTTTCTCTAGCCTTATTTTTGTAATAGAATTTGCACTGTAGACTTGTATGAAGGCATGGAATGGGCGCTCACAGGCAGATAGGGCAGTAGAATTGCACTGAAAACAGCTAGTGAGAGTAGAGAAAAATAACATGATCCAAGATGAGAAAAAGATCACAGACGTGAATATAAGCCTCTAGCATGACTGCTAGAAGACATACCAGTTTGATACATATCAGGATTGTCTTTCTAGATGAGAAGTTCTGGATATCGGGCTGTTTCAGATCTTTTTTTTCTTTTCCTTTTTTTCTTCTTTTTTTTGTTTGACATGGTTCATGGTTTGTTTGGGTTACTTTGTTTTTGTCTTGGATTAGTTTTTTGTTTTACTGATACATGCCCCACTGCCAGCCAAATACAAGGAAGTAGCATCTTCCAACACTGTATTATCATAGCACTTATTTTAATTGAACTTCCTATTGAGATTCAGCAGGCAGCACTGTTCCTCCAGTCGCATATTGGAGAACACCATTTTGGGGGTATCCCAAGGCTGGAGTAAAGCCTTCTGAAAGACCCAAGAAGCACCTGACCATCTCCATCCTTCATGTGTTGAGAGTGGGATGCTGAAAAACATACCCCGATACATTAGACACTTTTAGATGATCACTTGAGACCATCATGAGCTTTCTATCTTCTTTACATTATTAAAAGAACTCACATCATTAATAGCTAAATAATAAAAGCTCCAACTAATATTCAGTAGTATAATATGCAAAGAATTTCACTTAGTCAAAATTGACTGTCCATCTTCATCACTTGTTCAAGCTAAGCCCTCAAGGAGAATGCAGGTGAGGCTTTTCTGAAACTGCAATGCTCCAGCGTCCTGTTTGGGCTTTTCTTGGGTGGCGTGGTGGCTTGAAGCAGATACCAAAGGGAGCCTTGGATCCTTATATTGTAGTCTCTTATGCTGACTTAATGGATCTTGGAAAAAGCTCCAAGAATGAAAGAATTAGGTCTGTGTTTAGAGTGCGCTAAACATATAGCTTTTGACATGTGTTATTCAGACTTGTAGCTTAAAATTGCTAAATTTTTAGAAATAGTAAGAAACTATGATGTTAATGACAGCTGGACAATGACAAAGTATAACTCCTGTTGTACTTTTATGCTTCAATCCTAAAAACGAGTGCTTTAGGGAACTATTAGATAAGTATAATTAATATAAATGTATATCAGTCAGCTATTAAGCGTGTTTTTGAATGTTTTAGATGTGTCTGTTGTCAGTTGAAATTATTGATTAGCACCTCTTTTCCCCATGTCTGGAGCAAACTAAAAGAGATTTAATTACTGCCACAAGAATTACTGTTTTGTTCAAACCTTGTCTCTTGACCGTTAATGCTGACAGGGTTGAACAAGTGACCATCCCTTCTCCCCACCCCAAACTTTTTAATTAAACATTTTTGTAACTGAATGAGGCTGTGTGTATCTATATCAAAGTGCCTCCTTCAAAAGACTGGTGTACAAGAATGAGCTCGAAGAGCAACTCATGTAACGGTTTGAAAAAGCTAATGAAGGAATTTCAGAGCGCAGACAATTAGCAATGAGAAATGTAATGATTGTGGCATTTAGCCACTGGTGAATACTTGGCCTGCTCATTAGGCATCCTTATGATCTCCCTTGGAAAATTGACCGTGGTAGAATTTATGTATGTTGGGTTGAAGAGGAGTGCTAATGGCAGGCTTCAAGCCTTCTTCTCTGATGACAGAACACTTGTTATTCAGTGAAATGGACAAAGGGGGACAATTAATTGAAAAATGTTAGCTGTTCTGATTTCTCGAGAGTGGTGATCACCTGGGTCTAGCAAATTATTAAAAGGAATTCAGACTCTACAGGTTAAAATACTCTTTGGAAGCAGACAAGGTCCTCAACCCCGTTGCTTTTTATAATTCTGGCTTTGTACTTGTATGTCGTGTGCTGTTTGTGACTGTCTCTGCAACAGTCATGCGAATCATTTCCAGTTACTTGTTTATAAGATCTTTCATCTTGAATCTACATTTCATGCTCGCCTTTATTGTAACAGTTCGAAGATAAATAAACTTTTGACCTTTTATTTAAGGTATTTTCCAATTCTGTATTACTGCTGACTTTAGGAACATGATTTCTGTCCATCCTAAGGAAATTCCTAATAATCCAAATGATTTTTTTTTATTTAAACTTACGCATCTCAAAAGCTAGTACCAAAGTTTAAATTTGCATAATACATTTTCAGGCTTTTTCTCTTGCTTTGTGTGGTTACCAGTTTCAACAAATATGTCAAAAATATTCCTAAAATTGACCTCCTAGGACTTACGAACTGTACTGTGACTTCCATTGTCGTATTTTTGTTCATAAATGTAGATAATGTTTATTCTTTAGAATATTTGAATGCCTTTGCTATGTTTTTTTAAAGATGTTGGTATTTCAGTTGTTTATCTCACAACATATTGCATCTTGCATATGGGTCAGCACTATTGAAGAGGTATAGATTAATTGCTACCCACTAAAAATATAAACAATTTTGTAGGTAGCATGAAGATGATTCCGGATTGCATATGTGCTTCTAGCGTGGATAGCAAAAGGAATTGGACATTTGAAGCCAGAGACTTTTACATGTCTTTTTCAAGCTGATGCTTGAACAAGTAGTTAGACTTCAGTTTACTTAAAAAGAGAAATATTATCATCGAGATGATGAAGCTCTTGCATTTTCATTTTTTAACTTCAGAAGTTAAAAATAGGCTTTGGAACACTTAAAATATAATTTCAGATTTGGAACGATACTGATATGTAATATGCCTTTTTTGAAGTATTTGAAAACTAGTCATAAAATACTGTTTCAAAACTAAGTTTGAAGTAGTTTGGAATTATTTTTTGATACTTATTGGCTTCAAAGGGAATCCAGCTTTCCAGTTTGCCTGGGATCATGGTTCTTATTTTCCATTTGGTGACTCTAACATCCAACTGAAAAAATGTATGTGCTGTAAACGTAACCAAATGTGGTATTAAAAATGATGTGTCAATATTATAATTTGCTAAAAAATTCTAAAGAAACAACAAATAATCATGTCACAGTTGCATAACTTTGCATTTAGCCCGTATTGCCCAGTTCTGGCATGGGCTGAGTATTTTTGGATGTACTGCATACGTTTGGGAGGGGTGGGAGGGTGACTTATTTGTTTGTACTCCGAATTTGAGATTGAGTTTTGCTTAAGCCCATAATTTGAAATCAGAAACTAAAGACACAAAACGCACCATTACAATCCTTAAAGAAAACAGTAAATTAGATTTTTGTTTTTTTTTTTCCTTAGGGCATGGCTAGCATCTCCCAGAGATTTTGCAGATCGGGAGTGTGGGGTTTTGTGTTTTCTTTTCTCTTAGTTCTTGCACCAAGACTCGCTCCCGTGCGGCACCGAAATAAGTAACGACGTTTACTCCTCGCACAGGCAAACTGTTTCACATCGACTTCGGCTACATCTTGGGTCGAGACCCGAAGCCGCTGCCCCCGCCCATGAAGCTGAACAAGGAGATGGTGGAAGGCATGGGGGGCACGCAGAGCGAGCAGTACCAGGAGTTCCGCAAGCAGTGCTACACGGCCTTCCTGCACCTGCGCAGGTAGCAGCGCGTCCGCTCCCTAAGCCTGCGTCTGCGGGAAGGCAAAGGGATGAGCACGTCGTGGCAAAGATGTGCGTGACACTGAGCTTCAGTATCACAGAGTGGTTGGGGTTGGAAGGGGCCTCTAGAGATCATCTAGTCCAACCCCCTGCTCCAGCAGGGACACCCAGAGCAGGGGCACAGGGTGGCACCCAGGCGGGTTTGAAGATCTCCAGAGAAGGAGCCTCCACAGCCTCTCTGGGCAGCCTGTGCCAGGGCTCTGGCACCCTCACAGCAAAGAAGTTCTTCCTCATATGGAGGTGGAACTGCCGGGGATTCAGCTTACCCCCCTTACCCCTCACCCTGTCCCTGGCCACCACGGAGAAGAGCCTGGCCCCATCCTCCCCTCAGATATTTGTTCCTATTGATCAGATCCCCTCTCAGCCTTCTCTAGGCTAAACAGGCAAATACAATATGATTTTGTCCTTAAAGTTAAGGACCTCAGGTTTGCTTTTCTAATGGCCAAAGTAACTTTCATAACTCCTGCAGGATTCTAAGCGGAAGCTTCATTTTGGATTTATTTTGCCTTTCTTTCTCTGGTTATTGATGATAACTATATGTTTAACTCTAAATCATTAGTCATTTGCTGCTTTCCTACACTCCTTCACTTTAGATTAGTGATGATCAAAATCTATTACTCTTTGCTTTGAAAAATTGTGTATGTAAGCTTAATTGAATATAGATTGTGCTGGACAAATATCAACTGCTTATGATGACAGTAAGTACATTAGCAACTTCTTTAGTTACCCAAAGCCGTGACACCTAAAATTTTTTTTGGCTGTGTTCACTTATTGACCACATCGGATTTGGAAGCGACTTCATTCCTTTCATAATGACTTTACAATTCACGATCAGCTTTCTTGTTTTGACTTTGATGGCTGAATAGTTCAACTTTGTTCTGCTTGAACAAAACATGTGTAAATGCTCTTGGTCCATCCCGGGATTTCTTCCATGGAGAGCAGCAAAGAATTTCATTTTATTAGATCACATAATAAAACCTTTAAATTTGGGAGAAAGATCTAAAAAGCTTATTTGAAAAGATTATGTAATGTGAAAAGTAGACAGTAAATGATATGGAGTCATATAAAAATGTTAAAGGTAACTTTCTCTTTTTAAAAACAATGAAAAGAAATAAGGAACTGCTACTATATATGACACAGGAAAAAGAAAGAAACAACTGATATAAAGTCCCCATGAATTAAAACATAATTACCCTGCATGTGCAGAGAGGTTGGACTAGATGATCTCTAAAGGTCCCTTCCAACCTTAATGATTCTATGATTCTGTGATTAATAATAGATTAAGAGCAATTCAGGAAAAAAAAGCATGTTATCAACACTCTTTATGATTTAGAACAGTCATGGCGGGGAACTATTTTGCATTTTAAATAATGTTCAGGACTGCTTTGTAACACTGATTTTCTTATACAGAATAATTTTGTTCCGAATATTTTTCAGGAGTGTTTCACTATTTCAGTGAAAGACTCTTTTACATCAGTGAAGCTTTATACATTGCCTTGGCTAGTTTATGTAGTGATTTCCTTAGATCACAGTTAGGTGTGGAATATAGTGGTAACTTCAGTATGAATCTAAACTGTAAATCCAAGTTTCATTTGTAGTGACTATAGGTACAATTATCTAGTAGTCTCTCTGATATTTGTTCAGTTTAGTAGCAAATATTTTTAAATGATTCTGGATAATATCTTTAAGGCTTTCAGCAAAGAAGGCAGAGAACATTGGTGTTACCATAACTATTACTGTATGTAAGTAGCTCAAATTAAAAAACAACATTATTTGCTTATTTGGAAAAAAAAAAATAGAGGGGAAGTAGATCACAGGCACTTCCAGCTACAAAGTGAGGAATCTTATCTCCAATTGCTGAGCCAAAATGCGAATTTTCTATTTATCTCCATCAAATTGGTGGTATTTTTCCTGCGTTTCCTTGAGATGTAGCTGGTGCTCTGAATATTCGAAGTGCAGTATTTCAGAGTGGCTCAGTGTTCCTGGAGGAATGGCTTTTGGGTACTGAAAATAAATAAAAGTATTTGAAAATTTTGTAAGTGCTAAAAGACATTTTTGTACTTTGTTCCAGGTAAGTGGTAGTTTGCTGTATGGTACAGGATCATTTTTATTATTTATTTATTTGCTGCGGGAGGGTGTTTCCCATTTGACGAACAAGGGGTTGGGATGGGATTTGCTTGGGGTGCTGGTGATAGCCGGCTGGCTGCGCTGCGTGGCTTTTCCCTGCTGTGTTCACAGGGGTGCAGAGGACAGAACGGGTAGTAGCCCTGTAAGAGGGGAGATGGATGTGGAGGCTTCAGGCAGCACGTGGAAAGCTGTGAAGTGCAGATCCTTGGTTCTAGCCAGGCAGTAGGTAGTTTAAACAACTAATGTTAAACGGAATGAATCGAGGCCTTCAGGGGACCAGGTGTGAGGATCTTGGTGTACTTGCCAGGGGGGTTGTCATGGGAAGCGTCAATTTAGACAATAAACTGTCTAACATAGCTCTTTTCAAATTCTAATTTTAGGTGTGTTTCCTAAATTTTGCAAAACATGTGACAGCAGTACTAGAGGCAGACAGCTAGGTTTTTTGGTAGGCCTTTTACATCCCCAGGCCCCGTTTGGTTGGGGAACAAATTGCAGAAATCTTCACCTGAATTGCAGAGAAAGACATGTGGATACTACAGTGTTGTGAGCAAATATTTCCTAATTTTGTCACTTTAAAATTTATACTGCAGACTATTGGGTAGTGCTATTTCCAGTTTGTTAATTGTCAAAGGTTTTTGATAGAATTTTGCTTTCCTAGAGAGACTTTTGTTGCGCTATATTTGCTTTGTAAAATATGTCTAAGAAGCTGTGCTTTTAGGTGGTTTAATTACTTGTAATTGTCAGTTTATTTATATTTAGAAACTTGCTGCTGAACAAATGCTGCTGTTAAGAACTCGATGCTCTATGAAGCTCCTAGTGATGTTAGGAAAGCAATATTCCAGATATTGAAGTCGGTACATACTTTTTTTTTTTTTTTTTTTTCCTGGAGGAGGACTAAATCCATTGCAGAGTAAGAGAAGTTTCAGTTTATGTTGAACAGCTTGAAAATAATCCTTTCAAAGAGCAACTTTCAGCTAGTTTCTTGCAAGGTGGAAAACAATGTTGTCCTTTAAAATATTCCCAAATAGTTCCAACACCAGCACGTTGAAAGTGAAAATTCCAACAATGGCACTTTTTATCTCCATTTTTTTCTTCTTTTTATGTGTACCTTTATGCTTCAAAAATACAGCGTGTCTACCCAAGCTATTGCTCTTTCATTGAGCAACTGCAGGCTTAATTCTGTTTAAACTCAGTGGTAAAGGGATTTATTGAAGTTCCTTTGATGAGTGTTCATGCAGCAGCTTGAAAAATCCTTTTTTTGTGCTGACATATCACTGTTATTCACTTGAATAAGTAGCTTTTGAATCTGAATCCCAGTATATGTCTTCATACCAGAAGTAGAAACTTTGTTGTTAACTCTTAGAGTATTTAAAACTATGATTTGTGTTTGGTATGTCTCTAGAAAATGCTATGGCAGTGTTTAGAAGATTAGAATGAAACCAGAGCAGCTCAACCATAGTGCTCAGTTTTGCCAGTTTGAGTTTCCACTGCTATTAACAGGTATCTTACACTTTTAACATAAATACGTCCAGCTATTTTGGTGTGTTTGACCCTCCTTTTAAGCATTACATATTACCTACACATACAGTCTGTTTTTCTCTAAAGTGAACTTGTTCACAAAATACTGTCTTTTGTGTGCTTTAACAAATGTTCTAACTATTCTGCTCGTCCACTTTAGGTATTCCAACTTGATCTTGAACTTATTTTCCCTCATGGTTGATGCCAACATTCCAGATATTGCTCTTGAACCTGACAAGACTGTGAAAAAGGTAACCGAAAAGCTTTTATCTTTCAATAGTCAAAATCTTCATGTTGTGCCACTTTTCAATCACTTAATGATGACTTAAAAACAACTGTGACCTGAAAGTGTTTGCTGCTATTTTATGGAGGCTGAACAATTTCTAGGATCATAGAAGCTAGACAGACATACTCTTGATCAGCAAGCACTGATGTGTACCCAGAAATAGAGAATAAATCTTGTTTTGTCACTGCAGGAGTTCACAGCCTGTTCTGGCGTTGTGTTCCAAATGATATTTTTAACATTCTCCTGAGAAGAGTGATCTTTGCCTCACAAAACTGTTTTAAGAGCAATCAGCGCTGGCTGTATCGTAAAAGTTTGTTCCAGCCAGTCTGGAATCCTGCAAGTCATGGGTGCTTTTTCTCAGTGGCTTTATATTTTCATCACCAAGAAGTCTGTGAACACGAACTCTTATTTCCTGTGAAATGTGCCCTTCAGTTCTGGTTTTGTCCCTCTGCACAAGGTTGAATCATTCTTCCGTTTAATGCTTTAACAACAGTTGACATTAAGAATACTAGATAAATGTTCGTGTTGCCATTACTCAATGCCATTACTCTGGCATTTTAGGCAAATCCTGGCTTTTTTATAACCTGATTTGTGGTGCAGGTTATCTGTTTTAATTCTACAGAAGGCCTTGTGGAGCCTGTCTATCCAGTGGAAATCAGTTCAGTGCAATTTTTATTCAAGAGCAGAGTAATTTCTCTAAAATGGGGTGGTATTTAGTGCTTTCAATATGCTATGAAAGCAAAGGTTCAGAATCATTAAATTAATATTTCATGGCCTAATGCAATTCTCCTAGAGGTTAAGAAAAATGAATAGTGACTGACTCTAACAGAATCTTTCTTATATCCTTAAGAATAAGCATTTCTGCTCAGAATTTCATTCTTCCAAATTAGTATTAAGAGATTATATAGTCACTGAATTTCATTTCCAGAATGACTAGTGAGAACCTGCTGGATTCTGCAGCATGCAGCCCTTCCCATGACATTTTGTTTCCCTGTGAAACTGAAAAGTAATTCTTTTCCATATGAAGAACAGGGCTTGAACAGTGTATTTCCATCCCTAAACATCTTGTTCTCAATTTCCCAAAGAGCAATATTGAAATCCCATGTTGACTTAGTAGTAGTATGCATGCAATGATTTTCTATAAATTTCTTCCTTAAATAGAAAAAGAGTGTTTCCTTCTGACTTCGTATTGAAAAAACTGAGTAACAGTACACTTTCTACTTAAGAAGTAAAGTATGGGGAGGAGAAAAAGCTCATAGATTTCAAGATCTACTGTGAGATACAAGACAAATCATGGGAAAGATTCAAGTATGTGCTTGTTTTTCAGAAGTTAGTTTAAGTCTAAAGATTTTTTCAATAAATACAAAGAAACTTGACTTCAGAGGCAGTCTGCAGCTCTTGCAGGGGCTGTTTTTGGAACATTTGGCATTGACTGAAGTAGCCATCGAGAGATCAGACTGGCAGTTTCACTGGATTCCACAAGCGTTGGTCCTTTCGTGTTTGCAGGATTGAGTTTGAAACTTGCTGCTTACGTGAATCTCATTCATTTCTGTCAAGAGTTCACTGTTGCTTGCCGTGATACTCTTCACTCTTGTCTTGAATACTCTCTGTGAGCTATCTGACATCTTCCTGTCACCGAGTCTCCTTGTGTTCACTGCCAGTTCAGGTGCAATATCCTTGCTTTTATTAGTATCTTGACATCATCTTTTATGTAGATAGGATTCCTAGAATCATTGTCTGGGGGGTTCTCCACTTTTTTTCTGTCATGAGTGAAAGCAGCATGTCAAATTCTGTAAAATATTTGTAAAGGGTGTTTTGCTCTTAATGTAGCGACACTTGAACATTTCAGGCACTTATAGAATTCTCTTTATTTCCTGTGTAAGTCTTTTGAAATAGCAAATCAAGATACAGAATTGAGAGCTAGGAGTTCTTTTCTACAGCTAGTTAAATATATTAGACTTCAATGATATGCAGAAGTTAAAATCGCAATGATGTCAAGCAATATTCTGCTGCCTCAAATTGGAGAACATGTGAGGAAGCAAAAACTAAGCTCTGATGCCTGTGAATTAGATCAATATGATTATTTCTATATTCCCCTCATATTCCCTGCATAAAGTGTAAATAATAGTGCCTTCTCCGCAGAAAACGAATGTATGCTTATTTGCTGTATGACAGCTCAATATTAGATCAAAAGTAATAATTTATTATTGTGCTACTGAACTGTGACAGTGCAGCAGCTTGAATAATTGTGACTTTTAACCTCTTCTGAACCTTTGGTTCAGATCATTTATTCTTAGCTTTAAAATGTTAGAAGAACTAGAATCAAACCATTAAGGCACACACTTCTGCTAAAGAATTCTGAGTAACTACAGCATTTTTCAAACATTTTTTCCACTAGGGAAAAGCAAAGATCTTAAAATGATTGGATGCAAGATAAGTATTATTAAAGGGTATAGTTGCTCTACTGAAGGCTTGGGTTTTTTGACATTGTATTTGTTCGGTTTAAAATGGGCCACCAAGTAGGGCCCACCCTTAGGTTATTATAAACCTTGTAGTTTTTCTGTGTGTATCTTAACACATTTTTTCAACTGCCCTTGTGTTCTGTGAATGTTGCTATTTTAAATAAGTTTTCATGATTTTTGATAGTTCTGCTGTTTATGACTCCAAGGAATGTGCCATTCAGATTTGGTCCTACTGATTTAAGAATAATATTTTGAATATGCGATTTGTGCAAAAGATATGTCTTGTAGTGGAGGTTTCTAAGAGTAGGGGAGCAGAGGGCTTGTCTAAAGTTGACATTGTGACTTGACAGGTGCATTTAACTATCTTCAAGCACCAGTGAGAGCCATTTTTATTTGAAAGAGTTCTCTGCCTTTAAAATTCTCTGCTTTTAGTTTATTAACTCTTTTGTTATTAAGAAAAAAAGTTGGTTTTTGACTAGTTGACTATAAAATGGTCCAGCATCAAAATAATCTATTGCCGAAGCATGAATGTACTGCTGAGTTTGATACTGTGTGTCTTTTAGAAAGCAGCTTTGTGTATTATGTGGCTTGTCTAGAATCAGTTTTGATTTGTTTTTTGTCTCAAACTTTTTTTTTTTTAATTATCTTTGGTCTGAAATCAGCTTTGTCAGTAGTTATAAAAAGGGAAGTAGATGTTTTGTACCCCTTAGGTTGAGTGACAAGTTTGTTCAGTCATTTAACAAGATAAGTGCTGGAACCACCTTGTGCTGGAAAATTAAATATTTTCAGCATCTCAATTGTTTTTTTTTTTTTTCCCCGAGCTTTAAACAAAAAAATCTATATATATTTCAACAGACTCAAATTAGCTAAAGATCCATTTTGGCCTGACCTGTAAAATTAAATTACCTTTGATGTCTGAGTCCAGTCAATAGCCATTTCACCCATGATATCCCTTTCATGGAGGACAAAGGTGGAGATTTACAAACTCCTTAATCCAAGAAGGCATCCTGCATATCCAGGAAGGGGGAAGTCCACAGCGGACATACTTACAGATATTTCAGCAATACTTGTGCCCTGTACTGTTGTTATTAGCACAGGTAACTTTTCCACTTATCCTTTGCACTTCTCATTTTTTTCAGGAAAAAGATGTGGCAAGAATCGGTATATACTAACTTGTAAATGCACAGTTGATAATAAAATGCCAATCCCCTGCTTTGTTCTGCCATTTCTGTTTGTTTTTTTTTTTTCTATGCAGCTGCAATACTCATTGTGAGTTGTTGCTTTTTTAAATTTACCCACTGCTACAATTTTAAGTAGCAGTGACTAAAACCCTCAGTCAATTATGAAGTGAATATATTCAGCCTTGTCACCTCTTAACAACAACAAAAAGAGAAGCTTTTCATTTTTCCATGGGCAAGCCAGATGGTTCATATCTGTCCTTCATAGCAAATTTGACCTTTAAATTAGAGGACACTGGGGACCAGGGATTCATTGGCACAAAGGAACTCAGTAGGCGTTAAAGGACAGGGCTCTAATTGAGCTCAATTTCAGATGCCCCTTGATTAAAGAAGGAGCTGCCGAGGACGCTGCAAACGTTTCATTTATCAGCGAGGTCGTCGGGTAGGTTTGGGGCACAAATCCCTCCGCGTGCCGGAGGGAGCCCTTCTTTCCAGTTGTGGTGGCACCTTTGGGAAAAGGCAGGGAAAAGCCAATTTCAGGTGAGTCTGCGAGGAGGAGGGTTTCCTTCCTGCCAAGAGAAGCACCCTCTGCGCTTCCAGGTCAGTGCAAACCTTAAGTAGGTCTCACTGCCCTTGGTAAGAAATAAGTGGTAGGAACGTTTGGAAACTGGAAGACCTCTGAGGAGGAGCGTATCAAAGTAAATCAGTTCCCGTTCTAGAGACCACAGAGCTGGTGTGGGGATGTGATTTGACTTTCACAAAATCTCTCAGCTACCTTGTTTCAAAATCCAAGCTAATTTACAAGGAGTTTTCCCAGTCTCTTCATCTGGGTTGTAGTAAACCTCCCTGTTGTCTTTTTCCCTTCTGTGGCTTCTCCCAGAGTCAGTAAATGGATAATTAAGTGCTGAGTTCACAATTTAGCAAAACAGAAAAGGCTTCCGGTGCTTAACATGCTTTCTGATGCAGCAACAGATATGTGTCCCTCTTCATGTGACTGAAAATAACTATGTTTGTAAAGGTGGAGCTAGGAAGCATTTTTGACGTCTATTAATTCTGAGAGTGATGTAGTTTTGTTCTAGTGTGTGAGAAATAAACTCAGTTTTGCTTGGGTGAAGTCTGCTCTGCTTCAGTATTTGTATTCACTTCCTGCTCTGGGACAGGTTTATTCTTTGTAAAAGCTTCGCATTAACATTGAGTTTATTTTGCATCAACAGACGTTCATCTTTCTGTTCATTTGGATAATGATGCTGCAGCTGTACTCCCAGCTTTGCTCTTTATAGGCTGGTGTTTTTTTTTTTTTTTTTTTTTTTTTTTTTTTTTTTATTATTTTTAAAATGTAAAAACGTGGAAGTTTTTAAATTCAGCCTCAGAACTGAGTTGTGTCTGAGGACACGTGTTCACCCCGTTAGTTCATGTCGTCCTCTATTTCACCATAAGATTTTGGCCCAAAATGATGAAATTCTGAGCTGGAACAGTATCATCTTGCCTTTGTTTTTATGAAAGTTGAGTTTAGAGATTTCACTAGTATATTTCTGTCTTCTACTGAAAAAAAAAAAAAAAGTGCTACAAAAGCCTACCCAGGCTCATTTAGAAACTGCAGTTTATTCAAATGAAAGTCTTGAAAACAACAGCTGATGTCGGAATAGCTTTTTAAATAAAATTATTCATGCAAATAGAGCATTTGAGTAATGTGTATAATGCCACATTGGAACATGTTGCAGTTGAGCAAAGGAGAAAACAAGAAAATCCTTTGCTGAAAAAGGTGACACGTGGCACAGGTTAAGCCAAGGATTCAAAGCTTATTTCTGGTATTTGAACATGGAATGCTGGCTACTGCTAACAATTTTAGGCAAAGCAGTAAAAATAATAATGAAAGCCTCACCAAATGTAGTTATTCAGTTTACCTAATGTTGTAGCAATTGTTGGGATGCTGATGTTCAGTGCATGCTATGACGCGGTCAAAAGCAATACTGGAGTTCTCTTAAATTTAAGTAGCTGATTTTTATTCTAGTCCTTTATTCTAGTGATAAAATCATGTAGCTCATCGTTGCAGTAAACACCAGAAGTGCTGGTTAATCTTAGGTGAAGCAGAACTACTACAGCACCCAGTGGTCTTCAGAACGAAGTAGTGTTTCCTGTGAAATAGCCCATTTTTTACTGCAGCCTCATGTCCTAATCAAATATTCATTTTTGCATAGATAAATCTATCTAGCACAGAAATTAAGATGCAAGTAGTTACTTACTGTGATCAGACAGTGTTACAGTAGGATCCAGGGGTTTCTAGAGAGTGTGGGTAACACAAGCGTTTGGCCCTAGAAGTCTAGAAGAGGGGCAAGTAATGAACTGAGGTATATCAAAATTCTTAGACATAAAAAGTCGTTACCCTCTATTTATTACTTAACTGGCTGCTGTGCGTAGTGTGGATATGAAGTTGATAACCCTAAGCATTCAGGTCGAATTTCAGTTTTTTTGTTGGTGATGTAGTTCTTTATCTGAACTTCTATCCTTAAGCATTCAAATTCTACCATTGACACCTGAAGGAATATCTGCTTAAAATTACTGTGTGCATATGGTGTGAAGTTTAGAACTTTTCCTTTTTGAAACAAAGGAAGTGTTCAAATATGTTGATCTAGTGTGCCTCAGTTGTCTTTGGCTAACACCAAAAAATGGCACTAACAGCAAACAAGGAAGTGTTATTTAATAAAATACTAAAATATGAATTCTGAATAAATAAATCATATAGACTTACAAATAAGTACATTCATACAGGACATTCTTAAGGATGTGTAATGAGATAATTGAGTAACTTATCAGAACATGACCCCCAAATTTGCTTCCTTTTTTTTAAACACCCTACAGAATCTTGCTAAGCAGGGCCTGCTCCGTGAGAAACTCTGGACTTTCAGAATGTATGGCTTGCTTTGCAACAGAGATTTCTAATAACAATTACTATTGGTTTTGTTACAAGAACCATAACTCAGCGTATATTAATCTTGGCGCTGCTATTGCAGCTCAAGAAGTAATTTCTCATCTTGCCATATTTCTTCTCAGGTTGCAGCAGTTGCTTTTAATTGCTGAAAAACTTCCATGCAAAGATGTAGTTGTCAGCAGCATCTGATCCTGCTGTTAAATTGCACACTTATTTTAAGATCTAACTGTGGGTAAATTTATTTCCATGTACCATCAGTCTGCCAGCCTATTCCTGGGGAATGCGATAAATAGTTTAAATAGCCATTAATTCCTTATTTACTGAGGCGGCATCTTAATGATAGTGCCTCCTAGACTTTGAGGTGATTTTCATCTATAAATAAATTAGAAGATGGCTTAAATGATTGATTAACAGAGTTGTATTTAAGAAATTGTTGTTGCAGGGGATTATTTTCTTAAAATACAGTTAGCAATTTTGCTGAATGTTCATTGAATCACTTTTTTTTTGTGATCAGGAAAACAAACATGATAGACTTGCCTTCCCAAATCAGAGTATATATTAAGCTCCTGCATTAATGTAAGTGTGTGAATAGTCCCATTAAATTTGGTTGCATTCCCCTGTGTGCTTTGCTGGTTGTCAATCCTCTAAGCATATTTCTAGAAGAGAATAAACTTTGTCTTCTAGTCATGTTTTTATGAAGGTAGAAAATCTGATATTAGGCTGAAATAATTTCTGGTTTTTTTTGCTGCTTTCTTTTTTGAGAATTTGAACTTTTTTTCCAGTATATTGCATTCTTTCATGTTGATCAAAATATGTTTTGAGAGGAAGTTGAGGAAGAACTCAGTTTATGCTTGCTTAAAGCACATGAACACACTTATAACTGTGACTGTTCTTCCTATTTGTATCATCTCAGTAATACAACCCTGAGAACATTACTTAAATAATTTGTCTAGTGTTTTTACCAAGTCTTGGAAAAAGCAAATAAATAGGAAGGATACAAGAAAGGCTTTATTCTGTCTTACAAAAGGTCGATTTAATCAAGAGAAGGTTAATTCCTGTGATTAGTTCTTTACTGTAAAAAAAAAATAATAATGGTTCAACTGTTTGGTATGGAAGCTGGACAAATTCAGGTATTAAATGATTTTTAAATAGGGCAGTTAATCATTATAACAAGTTACTTAGGAAGGGATGGATTCTCTCTCATTATAAAAGCTATAAAAGAGATTTTTACTGGTAAAGGCAGAAGTTACAGACTTGATGTTTAAAAAAAAAAAGTTTATATGTATACGAAAGAGATTGAACTAGATGAACATGATGGTCCCCCAAAAAAGCTCACACCATTCTAGCATGTTCTTATGAGCATAAAGTAATTAGTTAGTGAGTCATTTTCTGCAATTAATGTAAAATTGCTGGCTAACTTTTCAATTTTGATCATAACTAGCTTGCAAGGTGGCTAGGAATTTTAAAGTTGTGGCTTAAACAGGGATACTGATATAAAACTGATTAGAGCATACCAGGATTTTAGATTCCTTAACTTTATTCTGAAAATGGTGGAATCATTTTGAGTTCTGGAATAGTGCAAATTGCTTTCCCAGTGGAGCCCAAAAGCTTTCACCCCAAGCTGTCGACGTTATGCGTTATCCTTCTTTTCGGGAGGAATTTGGTGGCTGGCCATTCCTCATGTGCAGACCTTGCTCCACCAACAACTCTTCTGAAAACTTAGAAAATGACATTATGGTATCTAAGCATTTCTTCAGATTATTAGAATTCCTCCAGCATGGCTATTTATGAATCTACTTGTCATAAATGATGTGAGGGATAAGTAAATCTGACAGACATGTCATAGGTTCCTCCCATTTGACAGTAGTACCTGAAAAGCAAGTTATTTCTCTGTGGATGTGTTTAGGAAATGTCTGTGGTAAAGATGCTTGTGAGAGATACCATCTGGAGTAGTCCTGAACCTTGGAGTTGGCTGGAATTCACAAAAAGGCATTCACTGTGCTTTTGTACATATTAATGGATCAAGGCGTCGCCTGGGGCCAAAACAAGGAAATTTAGATGTTATTACTTTATTCTTAATTATAGTGCTTTCAGCTTTTAATTTATATACAAATTGCAAATATCAGGCAAAACATCTAAAACTTGGTGCTGTAGATAGAATATGTTGCTGTCAAAAGAATAAGTGATGTGAGGGGTAGCGGTGTCTCCAGCCAACTGTTCATGGATGGCAGATGTAATCAGAGTTGATCAAGTTCTCACGTGTGATATAAAGATCAGATTTGACAGGGCTGATTTCTTCTGATTCCATATTCTCTACTTAATTGCCTTGAAGCTTCCAAAAGACTTTTTTATTCTAAATTAAGTTAAGAATAAAGACTTTCAGAAATGTGGGCTCACTCAGACCCTTTCAAGCTTGCATATATCAAAGGTGTGGGACTTCAGGGTGTTTCTGTTTTTCTTTTTACGCTGACAATCACTTGCAGAGAGACCTTAGAGTCTTTCCTCCTTCTCAGCTTTTAATTCTTTAAAATAACATTTTAGTTCTGTTTAGACTTTTATATCCAGTATTCTGACTTTCAAGCTTGGAGTTCTGAAAAGATTAACTGAATATTGGGGGAAGAGGGGAGGGGTGCGATAGCGTCAGAAATCTTAACAGTTTATTCATTTTCATGACAGTTTAGTTTTAAAAGTAAACACTTCATCTAAAATTGTGAGTTTGAGAGAATGTGTTGTAGTTTAATTCTCTACTTAATTTTTACAACTGACAATATGATAACAGTTACTAAGTAGATGACATGTAATGATAAATATTGTAACCAATGAGAGTTTTGGTTCTTTATAAATTTCTCTCATTTCTTTCCCCCTTTCCAAGGTGCAAGACAAGTTTCGTTTGGACCTCTCTGATGAAGAAGCTGTACATTATATGCAGAGCCTCATTGATGAAAGTGTCCATGCGCTCTTTGCAGCTGTGGTGGAACAGATACACAAGTTTGCTCAGGTGAGGTGGCTGCTCCGTAACCTGAGTAAGGGCAGAGGTGGTAGACAGTAGATTCATACTTGCCTTCATTGCTTACAGTGTTTTAGTTCTTATTCAGCAAGTTCGAATTCTGCTTCCTGCCAGGACCAGTGAGAAAGCCCTCAATGGGGCTAGAACATCCTCTATGTAACTTAACAAATCTGCTCTCTAGGGTATTTTAGATATGTTTCAATTAATAGCTGTGCCTAGTAAGAGAGCAATCTTAAAATTTGAACTAGGTCTGAGTATTTCATGGGTTCCATTACAGGTTTTGCTCTAAAATATACGTAGTTTTGTTTCACTTTAAATTGATTAACTGAGATATTGAGCACAATTTTTTTCATCATTGGCTGCACACTTGTTTGGTTCTGCAGCCATGATAGCTCACTTGAAATGTATACAAATAAATAAGAAAGTGCCTGCAGGAAAAGCTCCTTATAACTTTTCTGGAAGATCTGCATGGCAGGATGTTTCTAATGTTCCTGTACACTAATGCATCCAGCATAGGGAACAAACATGAGGAGTTAAAGGTCTGTGTGCAGGTTTGGGGCCACGTTCTCCCTGGGCTCACAGATATGGGGTGGCACAACTCACACAACTAGGGCTCTGCTGTGAGCGGATACAACCTCCTTAGGAAGCACATCCTGGAGGAGGGGGAGTTGCCTCTTGCATGAGAGCATCAGGAATGCACAGAGTTCTGCCTGGGGACAAACCAGCCAGCTGGGAGCTTACGGGTTAGGATTAGCAGGCAGACCAACATGGGCAATGTTTTGTTTCTCTGCTGCGGGCTGCCTGATTGGGATTCATTGCAAGGCTCTTGATTATCTCTGAAAGGTCATAGCAGTCGAGGGAGGTTCCTGGAGGCTGGAAGGAAGTAAATGTCACTCCTGTCTTCAAGAAGTGCAGGAAGATGGGTCTGCGAGCTACAACACTGTCAGCTTCATATCAGGCCCTGGGAAAGCGATAGAGCAAATTACCCTGGAAAATGTTTCTGATGATATGAAGGACAAGCAGGTGATGGGGAGTAGTCAGCGTATATTTATGAAGGGGAAATCATGCCTGACCAACCTGATAGCCTTCTGTGACAAAATAACTAGCATGATAGGTTAGGGGAAAGCAGTGGCTATTACCTACCTGGCCTTTAGCAAGGCTTTTAATACGACTTCCATAACATCCTTTTATCCAAACTGATAAAGCATGGACTACATAAAAGGGATATTGAGGTGGATTGAAAACTGACTGAGCTGTGTCCTGCACCTGGGAAGGAATAACCTCCTGCACCAGCACAGGTGGGAGACAGCTGTCTAAAAAACAGCTTTTGAGAGGGAAAAAAAAATGAGGGGGTCCCCTGATGGGCACAGTATTGCACATGAGCCAGCAATGTGCCCTTGGAGCAAAGAAAGTGCACATTGTCCTGGGCTGCACTGGGAAGAGCATTGCGAGCGGGTCAAACACAAACCCAAGGCACATCTGCTGCCTGAGGAGAGGCTGGGAGAGCTCTGACTCTTCAGCCCAGAGAAAAAGAGGCTGGGGGGGAGCTTCTTATCCATACGTACAAATAGGTGATTTGGGAGAAGAGGGAGGTCAAGAAAACAGCTGTTCTCAGTGGTGCCCTGTGAAGGGACAAGAGGCAATGGGTGCAGACTGAAATACAAGAAATTCAATTAAACACAATATTTTTTTTTTCTCTGTGGGTGTTATAGGACTAGGTTGCCCAGAAAAGTTGTGGTGTCTTTTTGAAGATACTCGGAACCCAACTGGTCAGGACCCTGGGCTGACCCTGCTTTGAGCAGGGGGACATGGACTAGGCAATCTCCAGCGGTGCCTTCTGACTTCAGGTGGTTTTGGATAATGCTCTGAGCTGGCAGTGCAAGAATATTGTCTGCACTGCTTCTAGTGTTAAAATCCCTGCTGTGGTGCGAGAAATGAAATGATCAGCCACATATGGGCTCCACAGTACAAGAGGGATGTGGAGCTGCTGGAGAGAGTCCAGCGCAGGGCCACAAGGATGATCAGGGCCCTGGAACATCTGCCCTATGAGGAGAGGCTGAGGGAGCTGGGCCTGTTCAGCCTGGAGAAGAGAAGGCTGAGAGGGGATCTAATCAGTGTATATAAATACCTCAAGGGAGGGAGTGCAGAGGACGGTCATGGTCTCTTTTCAGTGGTGGCCACTGATAGGACTAGAGGAAATGGCCGGAAACTGAAACATCAAAAATTCCATAGGAACTTAAGGAAAAATTTCTTAACAGTGAGGGTGACAGAGCACTGGAACAGGCTGCCCAGAGAGGTTGTGGAGTCTCCTTCTCTGGAGATCTTCAAAACCCGCTTGGACGCAGTCCTGTGCCACGTGCTCTAGGTGACCCTGCGTGTGCAGGGGGGTTGGACTAGATGATCTCTAGAGGTCCCTTCCAACCCTAAGCATTCTATGATTCTATGATATGTACGTGCTGTCCCACCACAGACCACCATAAGACAATGAAACGTTTAATTCCCCTGTTCAGTAAAACTGTATTCACAAAAGCATTTAATTTCATCTCTGAATTTACAATACTTTTTCTCCCTGAGGCTGCCTGGTGGTTTTAGCTTGTGTTTATCAGGAATATTAACAGTGAATGTTTGCCTTAAGTAGTAGTCTCCTGGCAAGGCATGGAATTCAGAGGAGAAATAAAACTTTGATCTCAAGAGCTAGTTAATGTCAGTATTTTTTTTTTTAACCAGTTCGTCTTTCAAAAGGCTGATCAAAATCTGATACAAATGGTTGAGAACAGCTTTTATGGCTATCTGTTGAGCTAAGAGTCTTCCACCTAATTTACAGCTTGCTGTAAAATAAAATTATGTTTTCAAGAACAGCATTACGGTGCTGGATAAGCAGTTAAAATGCCATTTCTATCTGCATATATATTTAATAGAGATGATCTTTCTTCATATGAAAAAGTGAAGTGTAATTATGTAGAAATGTTGCATATGTGTTGTCAGTCATGGTGCATTGCTTTGATTGCAGCATATAGGGTAGTGGTATCATAAACAAAGTGAAAAATATCTGGTATTAAAAACAACAGTGCTCATGTCATTGCAGAGATACAAGATTAGAGTGCATCCAATAGATGCACAGACCTTTCCTTAATTGCATCCTGACGCTCACCTTTTTTCTTTTCATTTAGACATAATCTTTCTATTTCACTATTTTTAGGTGACTGCCAGACTCTCCCAGATAATTGTTATTGCATTTGTGAAGCTGTATTAGTAAGTTAGAGTTCACATGTCTGATTCAGGTGACCTTTTCTTTTTCCAGTCAGACTTGTTCTTGCTTTTTCAGCATTTACAATTGCTTTTAAAAATCACAGGGCAGATTTGTTCAGGATATTTAAAGATACCCTAGAGTTTAAACCCAAGGCTCTCGCTCCCAGTACCAGTGTTCTAAGCCGTGGGCTGTTACAAAAGCAGGCACGTGTCTCAACTTCCATCTATATTTTGGGAGTTAAAACACATTCTGCTCACGTGAGTGTTGCACCTCAGGTAAGAAGGCAGCAGATATGACAGCCTCCAATGCAGGCCTGCTCAGGCCATCTCGCTTCAGGGTTTTCACCCTTCCCATGGGCTGGCATTGGACTCGGGCACAGAGGCTTTGGGGTCTGTTCCTGTTTTTTCCTGAATAGCACGTGCTAAACGCTCTACATGTGCTATGGAGTTTGGCACCAATGTGCTTTAAGCTTTCTTATTATACTCTTAGGGTCTGGTGCCTAAAATGTAATGTGGTGCTTCGCAAGTACCTAAGGCATCTCGTGGCTCCACACAATGCAGGATTCTTCTGCTAATTTCAAAGCTGAGGTTGAGCTGAGCTGAGGTCTTTATTCATATTCTTTAAATAATTATGTTGCAGCCCACCACCCAGCTTTATTTAATATTTATAAAGGCAGAAAGGATACCAGAAGAGTAGTCAGAAGTGAATCATCAATCAACAAGACTCTGAGGATTATTTACATCAAAAAAGAAAAACCTTAAAAAAATCAATCAGAATTGAATGCAATAAATGTCTGTTCTGTACATATTATACAAGCAAGATAGGGCACTTCAGTGATATTTAGTACTTCATTAGTCAAAATCATTATCTTTACCCTTTGTCTAAGGCAGCCGTCTCTTTAAGAACTTGCTGGAATCTTTACAGAGTCTGTAAATTGCTGAACAAATGAACAATTAATGCGTAATTGAATTTGCAGTAAAGTGATCATCTTATACAATGGCCAATTGAAGCTTTCAATTTTTTTGTATATAGTGCTGTATTGAATTGCCAATGGCCTTGCTTTGAAAAATAATTATGATTTTTTTTTTTTTTTAAGAAGAAAAACGAAAGTTCTTTGGCAGGTACTATGATGCATGCTTAAAAAGCAGATTAACCTTAAGTCGGGCAGTTTTTCATTTGAAATGCGCTAGGGTTTGTTATTTATCTATAGATATTTACTCTTGCTGCCTCCAAAACAGGTCTGCAAGGGCTAGCAAGCAGCCTGTGCTGTATGCTGCACTGGTTAAGAGCTTTTCAATAAGGCCGATTGTTCTAGTAAGCATTGTGTATCAGTGTTCAATATGTCACTTCAGGAAGTAAAGCTCTTGTATAAAGCAGTCTATATTTTGGCACCCAATTGTTACTTTCCTTCTGTGATAATATTGTAAATGGTATTCAACCATGTTATGAAGTGTTTGGTTTTTTAGTGCATCTTTAATCTGTTATCTAACCCACAGAGTCACAGAATGGCTGAGGTTGGAAGGGACCTCTAGAGATCATCTAGTCCAACACCCCTGCTCCAGCAGGGACACCTAGAGCCCATATATTCCAATATATTACAGGGCTTTTTATGTAGTACCTAGTCTCAAAGTAAGTTAATTCAACATATAGAATATAAGGTGGTACTATACAAGGCTTTTCGGGATGAGAAGCAGACAATTTGAGCCAGGTGCCTCCTGGGCTCAGGTTAAGTAGTAATCCAGCAGGATTCTGCAGGTTACCTGGTTGTCAGGCAGCAGGTAGAGTTGGTTCCCCAGCTGTTGGTTCTACCGAAGGGTTGTGAAAATCCCCTGCCTTTAGGCACTGTACAATATTTTTAAACCCAATTTATACATAACTCTTGTTCTCCAAGAGTAAACCCATCTGAAAAAATGTCTTACTGTGCTTTTTGTTTTCTTTTAGTATTGGAGAAAATAAACCTTTCATCTTCCTGAGGTGGAAAGGAGCCTCGGCATGTGATGAAGAGGGGATTTCTCAAGCACCTTGTGGACTTTCCCAAACAGCTTTAGAAGGCAAAAGCTGCAGGTTTGGTAGCATGGAGAACTGAGAGCTCAGGAGACAGAAGAGATTTTTGAGTCTACATTATTTGAAGGTTTAAAAATAACCATGTTTTTAAGCATAATGTTTATTTATACCATCCTTTAGGCTCAGATGTTACTGCATTTATGGCTAGTGAAAATAGTTGAGCCACAAAGATTGAAGTAAGCAACTTAGTCCTAAGCCAAAGATAACTGGAAGAGGCTGATATTAGATGGCAAATTCTTATACCTGTTAATATATTTTCTTATTTAAAAATTGAAATTATTGCTGTACTGAACATGGCTGTGTACAGAATTCAACAGAAATGCTACAGTTTCTCAGTGCAGAAAAACAAACTATCTCCTATCCTTTCTCACCAACTTTGTACCTTGAATAACTTTTAACTGTACTTCATATTACCCTTTATTTCCTGCCTTAGGCAATGTTACCATCTAGAAAGGGCAATCATTTCTTCCTTGCTTAAAAAAATGTTTTTAACTGCTGATAAGTTAGCCAGCTGTTGGCAGCCAATTAAATCATCAAAAACA